ACACCTTCTTCGCCCGCTTTGAGGATAACACAGTGCCACCGACGAGGCCCACTACGAAGGACTGTGGCCTCTCCTTCTCCGTGGCCGATGTGAGTAAGACATTTAAGCATGTCAACCCCCGCAAAGCTGCCGGCCCAGACGGCATCCCTAGCTATGTTCTCAGAGCATGCGCAGACCAGCTGGCTGGTGTGTTTACGGACATATTCAATCTCTCCCTTTCCCAGTCTGCTGTTCCCACATGCTTCAAGATGGCCACCATTGTTCCTGTAGCCAAGAAAGCCAAGGTAACTGAATTAAATGACTATCGCTCCATAGCACTCACCTCTGTCATCATGAAGTGCTTTGAGAGACTAGTCAAGGATCATATCACCTCTACCTTACCTGTCACCCTAGACCCACTTCAATTAGCTTACCGCCCCAATAGATCCACAGACGATGCAATCGCCATCACACTGCCCTATCCCACCTGGACAAGAGGAATACCTATGTAAGAATGCTGTTCATTGACTATAGCTCAGCATTCAACACCATAGTACCCTCCAAGCTCATCATTAAGCTCGAGGTCCTGGGTCTGAATCCCGCCCTGGTCAACTGGGTCCTGGACTTCCTGACGGGCCGCCCCCAGGTGGTGAAGGTAGGAAACAACATCTCCACTTCGTTGATCCTCAACACTGGGACCCCACAAGGGTGCGTGCTCAGCCCCCTCCTGTCCTCCGTTCACCCAAGACTGCGTGGCCAAGCACGCCTCCAACTCAATCATCAAGTTTGCAGACAACACATCAGTAGTAGGCTTGATTACCAACAATGACGAGACCGCCTACCGGCAGGAGGTGAGGGCTCTGGAAGTGTGGTGCCAGGAAAATAACCTCTCACTCAACATCAACAAAACAAAGGAGATGATCGTGGACTTCAGGAAACAGCAGAGGGTGCACCCCCCTATCCACATTGACGGGACCGCAGTGGAGAAGGTGGAAAGCTTCAAGTTCCTTGGCGTACACATCACCGACAAACTGAAATGGCCCACCCACGCAGACAGTGTGGTGAAGAAGGCGCAACAGAGCCTCTTCAACCTCAGGAGGCTGAAGAAATTTGGCTAGGCATCTAAAACCCTCACAAACTTTTACAGATGCACAATTGAGAGCATTCTGTCGGGCTGTATCACCGCCTGGTACGGAAACTGCACTGCCCGCAACCGCAGGGCTCTCCAGAGGGTGGTTTCGGTCTGCCGAACGTATTACCGGGGGCAAGCTACCCGCCCTCCAAGACACATACAACACCCGATGTCACAGGAAGGCCAAAAAGTTCATCAAGGACATCAACCACCCGAGCCACTGCCTGTTCACCCCGCTTTCATCCAGAAGGCGAGGTCAGTACAGGTGCATCAAAGCTGGGACCGAGAGACTGAAAAACAGCATCTATCTCAAGGCCATCAGACTGTTAAATAGCCATCACTAGCACATTAGAGGCTGCTGCTGCCTATTGAAATCACTGGCCATTTAAAGAAATGGAACACTAGTCACTTAAATAATGTTTCCATATCTTGTACTACTCATCTCATATGTATATACTGCATTCTATTCTATAATATTCTACTGTATCTTAGTCCATGCCGCTCTGTCATTGCTTGTCCATATATGTACACTGCTCAAAAAAATAAAGGGAACACTTAAACAACACATCCTAGTTCTGAATGAATGAAATCATCTTATTAAATACTTTTTTCTTTACATAGTTGAATGTGCTGACAACAAAATCACACAAAAATGATCAATGGAAATCAAATTTATCAACCCATGGAGGTCTGGATTTGGAGTCACCCTCAAAATTAAAGTGGAAAACCACACTACAGGCTGATCCAACTTTGATGTAATGTCCTTAAAACAAGTCAAAATGAGGCTCAGTAGTGTGTGTGGCCTCCACGTGCCTGTATGACCTCCCTACAACGCCTGGGCATGCTCCTGATGAGGTGGCGGATGGTCTCCTGAGGGATCTCCTACCAGACCTGGACTAAAGCATCCGCCAACTCCTGGACAGTCTGTGGTGCAACGTGGCGTTGGTGGATGGAGCGAGACATGATGTCCCAGATGTGCTCAATTGGATTCAGGTCTGGGGAACGGGCGGTCCATAGCATCAATGCCTTCCTCTTGCAGGAACTGCTGACACACTCCAGCCACATGAGGTCTAGCATTGTCTTGCATTAGGAGGAACCCAGGGCCAACCGCACCAGCATATGGTCTCACAAGGGGTCTGAGGATCTCATCTCGGTACCTAATGGCAGTCAGGCTACCTCTGGCGAGCACATGGAGGGCTGTGCGGCCCCCCAAAGAAATGCCACCCCACACCATGACTGACCCACCGCCAAACCGGTCATGCTGGAGGATGTTGCAGGCAGCAGAACGTTCTCCACGGCGTCTCCAGACTCTGTCACGTGCTCAGTGTGAACCTGCTTTCATCTGTGAAGAGCACAGGGCGCCAGTGGCGAATTTGCCAATCTTGGTGTTCTCTGGCAAATGCCAAACATCCTGCACGGTGTTGGGCTGTAAGCACAACCCCCACCTGTGGACGTCGGGCCCTCATACCACCCTCATGGAGTCTGTTTCTGACCGTTTGAGCAGACACATGCACATTTGTGACCTGCTGGAGGTCATTTTGCAGGGCTCTGGCAGTGCTCCTCCTGCTCCTCCTTGCACAAAGGCGGAGGTAGCGGTCCTGCTGCTGGGTTGTTGCCCTCCTACGGCCTCCTCCACGTCTCCTGATGTACTGGCCTGTCTCCTGGTAGCGCCTCCATGCTCTGGACACTACGCTGACAGACACAGCAAACCTTCTTGCCACAGCTCGTATTGATGTGCCATCCTGGATGAGCTGCACTACCTGAGCCACTTGTGTGGGTTGTAAACTCCGTCTCATGCTACCACTAGAGTGAAAGCACCGCCAGCATTCAAAAGTGACCAAAACATCAGCCAGGAAGCATAGGAACTGAGAAGTGGTCTGTGGTCACCACCTGCAGAACCACTTCTTTATTGGGGGTGTCTTGCTAACAGAGCATATGAGTGGAGTGGAGCGGGAGCGAGCGTGGAGCGTGAGCGGACGGATTTTGAACAGAGCGCAGAGCGGCATTTTTAAAAGGACGGAGCGTCGCCCTATGTCCCGCTCCAATTTCGCTCGCTCACACCACGAGTCTGAAGCATGCTCAAGCCTGACCCAGAATCCATCTGTTTAATTTAATTTGTGTCGTCCATGAATTTGTATTTTATAGAGCGAGAGGAGCAGCAGCAGCAACAAGAGAAAAGGGTTGAGGAATTCAAAAGTTTATTCACTGCACGCAAAGGCCCAACCATAACAAGGGAGAGAAAAAGAGAGCTGGATGTAGCATTTTTTAAAACGATTTTCATGGACTATGAACCGCTGAGTAAAGGAGAACGCGAAGGGATGCAACACTTCGCCAGCGCAGCTCAACCGGGCTACACCCCCCCCCAAGAAACTATGATAAATCAGTACTTTACTTTGTCAAATTTACATCTGAGATGCCCCATTCACATGCTGTTAACGAGCACAACAACCTTAATAGGGTGTTAGTGAAAGTCGGGCACCTGGTGAAAAGTGTACGCAAGAGCACAGAGGAAACCGACCAATTAGGTGTCCGCCCCACAAATGCCTGCGCCATTCGATGGAGCAGCCAGCTGCGGATGATTCAGTTGTTCATCCGGTTGTTCCAAAAAGACCCGTTATGGCAAAACAAACTCAAGTCTAATGTTGCTAACATCACCCTGAATCAAGTACGGCAGCTGACGCACCTTGTCAGTGTGCTGACACCACTAGCAGACCTCACAGACAAAATGCAGAAGGAGCTGGGGAACCTGGGGATGATCCTCCCTGCTGTCACAGAAATCAAATCCCTGCTCACCGATTACACTCACTCTGCACTTCCAATGGGCATCGCTGCTTTTGCAGAAACATTGGCAAACAACGTGTCAATTCGCTATGGAATATACTATACTGATTAACATCTCATTTTAGCGTCAGTGTCCCCGTTTCAAGACAGAACGGATAATCCGAGATGAGTCTGTATGCAACAAATTCGGGGAGATAAAGTAAGGCTGTGGTTTGAGCTAAAAGTGAAATACATGCAGATTTTGTTCATTTTTTGGAGTGAGCGGGGGGCGATTTGAGTGGAGCGCGATGCAAACTGCGTTGAGCGCAGAGCGATAATGAGCGGACTGGCCTGATGTGGCTTTGAGCGGGGGGAGCGGAGGGGTGAACAGCTCCGTGAGCGAGGAGCTGAGATTCTCACCGCTCCACTCCGCTCATATGCTCTGCTTGCTAATTGCCTATAATTTCCACCTGTTGTCTATTCCATTTGCACAACAGCATGTGAAATGTATTGTCAATCAGTGTTGCTTCCTAAGTGGACAGTTTGATTTCACAGAAGTGTGATTGACTTGGAGTTACATTGTGTTGTTTAAGTGTTCCCTTTATTTTTTTGAGCAGTGTATATATTCTTAAATTCCATTCCTTACTAGATTTGTGTGTATTGGGTATATGTTGTGAAATTGTTAGATATTACTGCACTGTCGGAGCTAGAAGCACTACACCCGCAATAACACCTGCTAAACACGTGTATGTATGATCTTGTTTTCAAACTGCTTGATGTGTATAGTACAGTAATTATCAACTCACTTGATGATCTTGTTTTCAAACTGCCTGCTGTGTATAGTATAGTAGTTAGCAACTTACTTGATTATCTTGTTTTCAAACTGCTTGGTGTGTATAGTAGATTAGTTATCAACTCACTTGATGATCTTGTTTTCAAACTGCTTGGTGTGTATAGTAGATTAGTTATCAACTCACTTGATGATCTTGTTTTCAAACTGCTTGGTGTGTATAGTAGATTAGTTATCAACTCACTTGATGATCTTGTTTTCAAACTGCTTGGTCAGTATAGTATAGTAGCTATCAACTCGATCTTGTTTTCAAACTGCTTGGTCAGTATAGTAGTTAACTCACTTGATGATCTTGTTCTCAAACAGCTTGGCGCAGCGCCACTGGCGGATGCAGGAGAGGCAGTATGTGTGGCAGCAGGAAGAGAGGATCCCGAAGCGTCTCTCCGAGGCAGCAGCTTTCTCATAAACCACCTCCATACAGATGGAACACACCTTGTCCTGGCTGTGCTGCGCTGCAAACGCCTTCTCCATGTCCGCCTCAAACACCAACATACACATCTGAGGGACAGCCATCACATGCTATGAATCTAGACTTGATCAATATCCATGCTATTTCATTTATAATCACCATCATAGATAGACATTGAACTACGTAATCGTATGTTTTCAATCTATCTTCTGTTGATCACTTGATGTCCAAAACAACTAATTATTGTTGTGTTTGTATGACAGCATCACTCCTACCAGTGTAGTTAGTGGGTACAGAGATCTCCTCTGCTCGGGGTCATGTGTGGGTTAGGGTTAAAGGTCAGTAGTATGGGTCCTACCTTCTCCTGAGCTCTGCTCTGCTCGGGGTCATGTGTGGGTTAGGGTTAAAGGTCAGTAGTATGGGTCCTACCTTCTCCTGAGCTCTCCTCTGCTCGGGGTCATGTGTGGGTTAGGGTTAAAGGTCAGTAGTATGGGTCCTACCTTCTCCTGAGCTCTGCTCTGCTCGGGGTCATGTGTGGGTTAGGGTTAAAGGTCAGTAGTATGGGTCCTACCTTCTCCTGAGCTCTCCTCTGCTCGGGGTCATGTGTGGGTTAGGGTTAAAGGTCAGTAGTATGGGTCCTACCTTCTCCTGAGCTCTGCTCTGCTCGGGGTCATGTGTGGGTTAGGGTTAAAGGTCAGTAGTATGGGTCCTACCTTCTCCTGAGCTCTCCTCTGCTCGGGGTCATGTGTGGGTTAGGGTTAAAGGTCAGTAGTATGGGTCCTACCTTCTCCTGAGCTCTCCTCTGCTCGGGGTCATGTGTGGGTTAGGGTTAAAGGTCAGTAGTATGGGTCCTACCTTCTCCTGAGCTCTCCTCTGCTCGGGGTCATGTGTGGGTTAGGGTTAAAGGTCAGTAGTATAGGTCCTACCTTCTCGTGAGCTCTCCTCTGCTCAGGGTCGTGTGGGTGGAGCACCTGCAGCCTGCAAATGTCACACAGGTCACCATGGAGATAGGGACAGGTGTTTACGTAGTGACACTGTCCTGCAGCAGCGTAGGGACAGAGCTGTTGCTGGGGGCAGGGGACAGAGACAGGGTAGGGGCCGGCCGTGGCAGAACACTCCAGACCGGTCCTGATGGCGTCCAGGTAGGAATGAGGAGGTTTGGCATGGGCGCTGTTTTCATGGTATTCTGCCCAACACTCCGCCTCGGTCACCTCTGAGCCATCTCCACCATAGGGCATCATTCTGCTGTCATAGCCCAAGGCTGGAAAACACACAGGAAAGACAACAGGATACAGTTGAAGTAAAGGTAACAGGCCTCTGCATTATACTGCTGGCTGCATTACATTGACCTCCTAGCAGCAAACTAAACTACATACTAAAACTTCTTAGTTAAAACTGACACACCATTACTACTGTACCGCTATCTCCCAGCACCAGGGGGTTCTACTACTGTAGCGCTATCTCTCAGCACCAGGGGGTTCTACTACTGTAGCGCTCTCTCTCAGCACCAGGGGTTTCTACTACTGTACCTCTATCTCCCAGCACCAGGGGGTTCTACTACTGTAGCGCTATCTCTCAGCACCAGGGGGTTCTACTACTGTACCTCTATCTCCCAGCACCAGGGGGTTCTACTACTGTAGCGCTATCTCTCAGCACCAGGGGGTTCTACTACTGTAGCGCTCTCTCTCAGCACCAGGGGGTTCTACTACTGTAGCGCTCTCTCTCAGCACCAGGGGTTTCTACTACTGTACCTCTATCTCCCAGCACCAGGGGGTTCTACTACTGTAGCGCCATCTCTCAGCACCAGGGGGTTCTACTACTGTAGCGCTCTCTCTCAGCACCAGGGGTTTCTACTACTGTAGCGCTATCTCTCAGCACCAGGGGGTTCTACTACTGTAGCCCTATCTCTCAGCACCAGGGGGTTCTACTACTGTAGCGCTATCTCTCAGCACCAGGGGTTTCTACTACTGTAACCTCTATCTCCAGCACCAGGGGGTTCTACTACTGTACCTCTATCTCTCAGCACCAGGGGGTTCTACTACTGTAGCGCTATCTCTCAGCACCAGGGGTTTCTACTACTGTAGCGCTCTCTCTCAGCACCAGGGGTTTTCTACTACATGTACCTCTATCTCCCAGCACCAGGGGGTTCTACTAACTGTAGCGCTATCTCTCAGCACCAGGTGCGTGTTCTACTATCTGTACCTCTATCCCCAGCACCAGGGGGTTCTACTGACTGTAGCGCTATCTCCCTACAGCACCAGGGGTCTATACTGTAGCGCTCTCTCTCAGCACCAGGGGGTTACTACTGTCGCGCATCTCTCTCAGCACCAGGGGGTTCTATACTGTAGCACCAGGGGTTTCTACTACTGTACCTCTATCTCCCAGCACCAGGGGGTTCTACTACTGTAGCGCTATCTCTCAGCACCAGGGGGTTCTACTACTGTAGCGCTCTCTCTCAGCACCAGGGGTTTCTACTACTGTAGCGCTATCTCTCAGCACCAGGGGGTTCTACTACTATAGCTCTATCTCTCAGCACCAGGGGGTTCTACTACTGTAGCCCTATCTCTCAGCACCAGGGGGTTCTACTACTGTAGCGCTATCTCTCAGCACCAGGGGTTTCTACTACTGTACCTCTATCTCTCAGCACCAGGGGGTTCTACTACTGTACCTCTATCTCTCAGCACCAGGGGGTTCTACTACTGTACCTCTATCTCTCAGCACCAGGGGGTTCTACTACTGTACCTCTATCTCTCAGCACCAGGGGGTTCTACTACTGTACCTCTATCTCTCAGCACCAGGGGGTGTCTACTACTATAGCGCTATCTCTCAGCACCAGGGGGTTCTACTACTGTAGCGCTATCTCTCAGCACCAGGGGGTTCTACTACTGTAGCGCTATCTCCCAGCACCAGGGGGTTCTACTACTATAGCGCTATCTCTCAGCACCAGGGGGTTCTACTACTGTAGCGCTATCTCTCAGCACCAGGGGTTTCTACTACTGTACCTCTATCTCTCAGCACCAGGGGGTTCTACTACTGTACCTCTATCTCTCAGCACCAGGGGGTGTCTACTACTATAGCGCTATCTCTCAGCACCAGGGGGTTCTACTACTGTACCTCTATCTCTCAGCACCAGGGGGTTCTACTACTGTAGCGCTATCTCTCAGCATCAGGGGGTTCTACTACTGTAGCGCTATCTCCCAGCACCAGGGGTTCTACTACTATAGCGCTATCTCTCAGCACCAGGGGGTTCTACTACTGTAGCGCTATCTCCCAGCACCAGGGGTTTCTACTACTGTAGCGCTATCTCCCAGCACCAGGGGGTTCTACTACTATAGCGCTCTCTCTCAGCACCAGGGGGTTCTACTACTGTAGCGCTATCTCTCAGCACCAGGGGGTTCTACTACTATAGCGCTATCTCCCAGCACCAGGGGGTTCTACTACTATAGCGCTATCTCTCAGCACCAGGGGGTTCTACTACTGTAGCGCTATCTCTCAGCATCAGGGGGTTCTACTACTGTAGCGCTATCTCCCAGCACCAGGGGTTCTACTACTGTAGCGCTATCTCTCAGCACCAGGGGGTTCTACTACTGTAGCGCTATCTCTCAGCACCAGGGGGTTCTACTACTATAGCCCTATCTCTCAGCACCAGGGGGTTCTACTACTGTACCTCTATCTCTCAGCACCAGGGGTTCTACTACTATAGCTCTCTCTATCAGCACCAGGGGGTTCTACTACTGTACCTCTATCTCTCAGCACCAGGGGGTTCTACTACTGTAGCCCTATCTCTCAGCACCAGGGGGTGTCTACTACTGTAGCGCTCTCTCTCAGCACCAGGGGTTTCTACTACTGTACCTCTATCTCTCAGCACCAGGGGGTTCTACTACTGTACCTCTATCTCTCAGCACCAGGGGTTTCTACTACTGTACCTCTATCTCTCAGCACCAGGGGGTTCTACTACTGTACCTCTATCTCTCAGCACCAGGGGGTTCTACTACTGTAGCGCTCTCTCTCAGCACCAGGGGGTGTCTACTACTGTAGCGCTCTCTCTCAGCACCAGGGGGTTCTACTACTGTACCTCTATCTCTCAGCACCAGGGGGTTCTACTACTGTACCTCTATCTCTCAGCACCAGGGGGTTCTACTACTGTACCTCTATCTCTCAGCACCAGGGGGTTCTACTACTGTACCTCTATCTCTCAGCACCAGGGGGTTCTACTACTGTACCTCTATCTCTCAGCACCAGGGGGTTCTACTACTGTAGCGCTCTCTCTCAGCACCAGGGGGTTCTACTACTGTACCTCTATCTCTCAGCACCAGGGGGTTCTACTACTGTAGCGCTCTCTCTCAGCACCAGGGGGTTCTACTACTGTACCTCTATCTCTCAGCACCAGGGGGTTCTACTACTGTAGCCCTATCTCTCAGCACCAGGGGTTTCTACTACTGTACCTCTATCTCTCAGCACCAGGGGTTTCTTCCCTCCATTGTGCCTGGGTGGGGGTGCGGAGGGGCCTGGAGAGCCAGGGACAGCGACACCAGGGGGGATGAAGGCCCCAGCAGTGATGGGGTTTCTGTTAGGGAGGTCCATGGGCACACCTCTCCCTCCTCCACCACCACCAGCCGGCTTGATGTGGTCATACCTACAACACAGAGTCACACACCATCATAATAACAGATATTTATTGAACACGATGGTTGGACTATGTGCATAAAACTCATACAGTGACTGTAGATTGGGGATTATGTATTGGTATTGTACTGTTAGTCACTTACTGCACTGTTGGAGCTAGAAACATAAGCATTTCACTGCACCTGCTTTAACATCTGCTAATCTGTGCACACGACCAATCAACTTTGATCACCTAAACTGCTGCTACTGTTTATTATCTAGCTGTTGCCTAGTCACTTTATTCCTAGTTATATGTATGTATCTACCTCAATTACCTCGTACTCCTGCACATTGGCTTGGTACTGGTACCCCAGCACATCGACTTGGTACTGGTACCCCATGTATATAGCCACGTTTTAATTGTTAATTTATTATTACTTTTCTATTTCCTTTCTCTGCATTGTCGGGAAGGGCCGTAAATAATAATTTCACTGTTAGTCTACACCTGTTATTTTACACAGTATGTGACAATTAACATGTGATTTGTAGCCTTCAATCCAGCCCATCAGTAGGTTGGATCTTACCTGCAGCGGTCTCCGTAGGCGCACACACCTCTCTGGTAGAACTTACAGATGGTTGAAGGTTTACTGGTGGTCAGGTCATGAGAGAACATGCACCTAATCCCTTCTCGGCAAACACCATGGAGAAAATACCTGCATAGCAACACAAGAAACCGGCAGAATTAGCAGCGGTTAGCTATGATCATGAGGTTAGCTATGAGACCTACTGATAGCTACTTATTGAGGCCTGGTGTTCAGGGATACAGTCTGATTAGGTTCATACACTAGAGTGATTGGTGGCTACTGGTTAGCAACAGAAACGGTCTAACATCATCAGCTTCCTCCTGGTAGTTGTCATTCATACCAGCTAGCCTAGCTAACTAGCAGCAAAGCTAACATAGCTAGCTACCGGTAGCTGCACTTTCTAGAGCTAACTAGCAGCAAAGCTAACATAGCTAGCTACCGGTAGCTGCACTTTCTAGAGCTAACTAGCAAGCAAAAGCACCAATCGCGTTATTCATGGAAATGTTCACTTTAAGCAACACACTGCAGCATGTTTTCACAAATATATCGCACCAGAATCGTTAGCGGCATCCCAGCTACTTTAGCTAGCTAGCTAAGAAGCTAACATCTGCCAAATGCAAGAAATAAAACATCACACACCTCGAGGTAAGAAACACTCAAGCAACAGTAAAAACATTAAACACGGTACAAGTTCTACCTGCAGGTGACTTGCTTCGTGTTCATGTTTTATCCTCAATAATATTGGGGCAACGGTATTTATGTTCCCGTTGTCACGTTTGAGTGCAAGCAAAAACTTCCGCCTATAAACCACCAGACTCGATGAACGAAAGGTTCCGAGGGGAAGGTTCAAGACGGGTAAGCAGCCAGGACTCTCGAGCATACGACATGTATGTTTAAATACGATTATCTTTAAGAATACATAGTTATTCTTTATGAATAAAACATTTTTTAACGCGTTCAAATTGCTTCCTTCTTTAGCAACGTGTGTCACCTCGCTCATGTATTTCCCGGTTGAACCTTCCAATGGACTGCACTGTCTTGAAGTTTAACCATTGTGGAAGAAAAATCTATAGTTTTGACAAAAATAAGCTCCAAACAGAAAACACAGGGCGAAAATGCCCAATCTGTCAGGAGCAGATGAGATTCAGCCTCCTCGAGGCACCTGTCATAGTTCCGTGTCCATTTAGTAATGGACACAAGGTCCGGTGCGCCTTCCTCATTGGATCCTCACTGGGACCTGCTTTTCTCAGGTAAAATCAACACTTTACTGATATTCTTACTGTATATCTTACTCATATTGTCAACAACTGTTTATTTTTGCAACATTGAATGTTAAAATGTAAATCATTTTAAATGTGTATCTTCCCCTTTCATGTGTCTTCCTGACCGGACCTGTCATGGTGTTTGTCACAGTGAATGGCAGGACTCTGAGCTGCATGTTGGAGTTACTAACTCACAAGGTGCCTTCAGATTAGTTTACTTGCAGTTTGTGTGAGTTAGACTGGACTAGGTAACTAGATCTGATGTCTGTGTGTGTGTTCAAGGTGTGGTGTACAGCTACACCTCCTCAGGAGTCCAGAGAGAGGACCAGGGCTGGGAGCAGTGCCTCTGTGTGCCGCTGGTGGCCCCCGGGACTGGCAGCTTTGGAACAATGTGGGACACTGAGCTGGAACAGTTCTCCCTCCTCTCCACCTGGTCACGACACAGGTGAATATTACGAATGGAAATAGTACATTCTGAAAACCTAATAGTTAAAGATGGTGGTGCCACTTTAGAAATCCCACATAAAGAATACCTTTAATATAAAGGGGTTCTAAGTAGTTTACAATAACAAAAACTTCAACATGATTATTTTGTTTAAGACAGAGTAATACAACTGTATACAGTGAGCTCCAAAAGTATTGGTACTGTGACACATGTTTTGTTTTTGCTCTGTACTCCAGCACTTTGGATTTGAACGGATACAAATAATTTGAGGGTATTTTCATCCATTTCAGGTGAACCGTTTAGAAATTACAGCTTTTTGCACATAGTCCCCACATTTTAGGGAACCAAAAGTATTGGGACACTTGTGTATTAAAGTAGCAAAAAGTTAAGTATTTGGTCCCATATTCATAGCACGCAGTGACTACATGAAGCCTGTGACTCTACAAACTTGTTGGATGTATTTGCTGTTTGTTTTGGTTGGGTTTCAGATTATTTTGTGCCCAATAAAAATGAATGCTAAATAATGTATTGTGTCATTTTGGAGTCACTGTTATTGTAAATAAGAATTGAATATGTTTCTAAACACTTCTACATTCATGTGGATGCTACCATGATTACAGGTAATCAATCCTGAATGAATCGTGAATAAAGATGAGTGAGAAAGTTAGACGCACAAATATCATACCCCCAAGACATGCTAACCTCTCACCATTACAATAACAGAGGCATTTTTGGGGGGTATGATATGTGCATCTAACTTTCTCACTCATTATTATTCACAATTCATTCAGGATTATTCATAATCATAATATGGGACCAAATACTGAATTTGTCCCAATACATTTGGGTCCCTAAAATGGGGGGACTACTGTATGTACAAAAAGTGCTGTAATTTTTACGGATGAAAATACCCTCAAATTAAAGCTGACAGTCTGCCCTTTAACCTTAGTCATTGTATCATTTCAAATCCAAAGTGGAGTACAGAGCCAAAACAACAACACGTGTCACTATTGAAGCTCACTGTATTTGCTCCAGGTTTGAAGAGGAGCGGGAGTTTGGCTCGTGTTGCTATGGCTTTGCCCTGTCCTTCCTGAACCAGCTGAGGAGAGCAGAGGGCAGAGAGTCAGTCACCAGGGATGACTTCACACAGCAACATGTCCTGCCCCATGTTAAGACTGCCTCCAAATACATCACAGTCTACCAAGAGATCCATCAACATGGTTTCTACATAGCTGATTATTAAGATGCTTGTATTTAGTGTAATTTTCGTTGGGGTTTGGGATAAAGCTTAAGGACCTTCCGTTGGACCTTGTATACAATTGGACAATAAAATAATATTCTTCTTTTGCTATTGTTAATGCATAGTTGTTGGTCGGCACAGATAAATCCTGATGCTTTTCATTTTTAAAAAGTAATTTACTTTGTCTGCTCAAGGGTGTAAAATACAAACTTTCACAAAAGCTCTGACGAAGGCCCGGAGGCCGACACGTAAGCTTGAATAAAAGAAGTTATACTAGCAAGAGCAGTGTGCGGGGTTAATTTTTCTATCAAGTAATCACATTATTCACAATCAACTGCAACCAGACAACTCAGAAGTGGGAGTGTTTTTTAAATGATCTCTGTAAAGGAAACCATACTGCATAGTAGCGTACATGGAAAAACTATCTCCAACAAACACTGAAACAATACATGTGTTAACACCACACCATGTGTAAATGACAACACCAAACAAAATATAATTATTGTAAAATTGACTGTGTCCATAAAATATATATAGTATGTATAGGGCGGCAGGTAGCTTAGTGGTTGAGAGCGTTGTGCCAGTAACCGAAAGGTCGCTGGTTCTAATCCCCGAGCCGACTAGGTGAAAAATCTGTCTATGTGCCCTTGAGCAAGGCACTTAACCCTAATTGCTCCTGTAAGTCGCTCTGGATAAGAGCGTCTGCTAAATGACTAAAATGTAAATGTATAAGCTGGAAGTAGAGGCCTAAGCATTGTTGTTCACTAGTTTACTCCAATTAAGGGAGGGGTGGTGGGGTTGGAAAGTAAAAAAATATATATTTTTAAAGGATGTATGTATGTATGTGTATAAACTCAGCAAAAAAAGAAACGTCCCTTTTTCAGGACCCTGTCTTTCAAAGATAATTAGTAAAAATCCAAACAACTTCACAGATCTTCATTGTAAAGGGTTTAAACACTGTTTCCCATGCTTGTTCAATGAACCATAAACAATTAATGAACATGCACCTGTGGAACGGTCGTTAAGACACCAACAGCTTACAGACGGTAGGCAATTAAGGTCACAGTTATGAAAACTTAGGACACTAAAGAGGCCTTTCTACTGACTCTGAAAAACACCAAAAGAAAGATGCCAAGGGTCCCTGCTCATCTGCGTGAACGTGCCTTAGGCATACTGCAAGGAGGCATGAGGACTGCAGATGTGGCCAGGGCAATACATTTTTAACGTTTAACATTTAAGACTCCCGAGTGGCGCAGTGGTCTAAGGCACTGCATCGCAGTGCTAGCTGTGCCACTAGAGATCTTGGTTCGAGTCCAGGCTCTGTCGCAGCCGGCCGCGACCGGGAGACCCATGGGCGGCGCACAATTTTTAAAATAAAAATATCAACAACAAAAAAAATAACATGTATGCATTCACTAACTGTAAGTGGCTCTGGATAAGAGCGTCTGCTAAATGACTCATTAACTGTAAGTGGCTCTGGATAAGAGCGTCTGCTAAATGACTCACTAACTGTAAGTGGCTCTGGATAAGAGCGTCTGCTAAATGACTCACTAACTGTAAGTGGCTCTGGATAAGAGCGTCTGCTAAATTACTCATTAACTGTAAGTCGCTCTGGATAAGAGCGTCTGCTAAATGACTCACTAACTGGAAGTGGCTCTGGATAAGAGCGTCTGCTAAATGACGTAAATGTAAAAAGTCATTTAGCAGACGCTCTTATCCAGAGCTACTTACAAATTGGTGCATTCAACTTAGGATAGCCAGTGGGCCAACCACCCTTTTTTTTTTTTTTATGGGGGGTGGGGGAGGGGGGGTAGAAGGATTATTGTTATCCCATTCCAGGTATTCCTTAAAGAGGTAGGGTTTCAAGTGTCTCCGGAAGGTGGTCAGTGACTCCGCTGTCCTGGCGTCGGGGGGGAGCTTGTTCCACCATTGGGGTGTCAGAGCAGCGAATAGCTTTGACTGGGCTGAGCGGGAACTGTGCTTCCGTAGAGGTAGGGGGGCTAGCAGGCCAGAGGTGGATGAACGTAGTGCCCTCGTTTGGGTGTGGGGTCTGATCAGAGCCTGAAGGTAAGGAGGTGCCATTCCCCTCACAGCTCCGTAGGCAAGCACCATGGTTTTGTAATAGATGCGAGCTTCAACTGGAAGCCAGTGGAGTGTGCGGAGGAGCGGGGTGACATGAGAGAACTTGGGAAGGTTGAACACCAGACGGGCTGTGGCATTCTGGATGAGTTGTAGGGGTTTAATGGCACAGGCAGGGAGCCCAGCCAACAGCGAGTTGCAGTAATCAAGTGCCTGGATTGACAAGTGCCTGGATTAGGACCTGTGCCGCTTTCTGTGTAAGGTAGGTTCGTACTCTGCGAAAGTTGTAGAGCATGAACCTGCAGGATCGGGTCACCGCTTTGATGTTAGCGGAGAACAACAGGGTGTTGTCCAGGGTCACGCCAAGGTTCTTTGTACTCTGGGAGGAGGACACAATGGAGTTGTCAACCGTGATGGCGAGATCATGGAGCGGAGAGTCCTTCCCCGGGAGGAAGAGCAGCTCCATCTTGCCGAGGTTCAGCTTGAGGTGGTGATCCGACATCCACACTGATATATCTGCCAGACATGCAGAGATGCGATTCGCCACCTGGTTATCAGAAGGGGGAAAGGAGAAAATGAATTGTGTGTCATCTGCGTAGCAATGATAGGAGAGACCATGTGAGGATATGACAGAGCCAAGTGACTTGGCGTATAGAGAGAATAGGAGAGGGCCTAGAACTAAGCCGTGGAGGACACCAGTGGTGAGAGCACGTGGTGCGGAGACAGATTCTCGCCACGCCACCTGGTAGGAGCGACCTGTCAGATAGGACGCAATCCAAGAGCGAGAGTTTTCCACTTGTGTGGGTTGTAGACTCCGTCTCATGCTACCACTAGAGTGAAAGCACTGCCAGCATTCAAAAGTAACCAAAACATCAGCCAGGAAGCATAGGAACTGAGAAGTGGTCTGTGGTCACCACCTGCAAAACCAGTCCTTTATTGGGGGTGTCTTGCTAATTGCCTATAATTTCCACCTGTTGTCTATTCCATTTGCACAACAGCATGTGAAATGTATTGTCAATCAGTGTTGCTTCCTAAGTGGACAGTTTGATTTCACAGAAGTGTGATTGACTTGGAGTTACATTGTGTTGTTTAAGTGTTCCCTTAATTTTTTTGAGCAGTGTATATTTGCGGGGAAAAAACATATGGGGGATTGGAAGTGATGCAGACAATTACATTGATGGAAGTTACAATCTATCTGCAATATTAAAGCTGATCTACCCCCTAAAAACAAACACACATAAAAAAATACAAAAAATACAAATAAAAACGTGTTATTAACAACACCACACCACACCATGTGTTATTGATAACACCACACCACACCATGTGTTATTGACCACACCACACCATGTGTTATTGACAACACCACACCATGTGTTATTGACAACACCACACCATGTGTTATTGACAACACCACACCATGTGTTATTGACAACACCACACCATGTGTTATTGACAACACCACACCATGTGTTATTGACAACACCACACCATGTGTTATTGACAACACCACACCATGTGTTATTGACAACACCACACCATGTGTTATTGACCACACCACACCATGTGTTATTGACAACACCACACCACACCATGTGTTATTGACAACACCACACCATGTGTTATTGACAACACCACACCATGTGTTATTGACAACACCACACCATGTGTTATTGACAACACCACACCATGTGTTATTGACAACACCACACCATGTGTTATTAACAACACCACACCACACCATGTGTTATTGACAACACAACACCACACCATGTGTTATTGACAACACCACACCATGTGTTATTGACAACACCACACCATGTGTTATTGGCAATACCACACCATGTGTTATTGACAAAACCACACCATGTGTTATTGACAACACCACACCATGTGTTATTGGCAACACCACACCATGTGTTATTGACAACACCACACCATGTGTTATTGACCACACCACACCATGTGTTATTGACAACACCACACCACACCATGTGTTATTGACAACACCACACCATGTGTTATTGACAACACCACACCATGTGTTATTGACAACACCACACCATGTGTTATTGACCACACCACACCATGTGTTATTGACAACACCACACCATGTGTTATTGACAACACCACACCATGTGTTATTGACAACACCACACCATGTGTTATTGACAACACCACACCATGTGTTATTGGCAACACCACACCATGTGTTATTGACAACACCACACCACACCATGTGTTATTGACAACACCACACCACGTGTTATTGACCACACCACACCACATGTTATTGACCACACCACACCATGTGTTATTGACAACACCACACCACACCATGTGTTATTGACAACACCACACCACACCATGTGTTATTGACAACACCACACCACACCATGTGTTATTGACAACACCACACCATGTGTTATTGACAACACCACACCATGTGTTATTGACAACACCACACCATGTGTTATTGACAACACCACACCACACCATGTGTTATTGACAACACCACACCATGTGTTATTGACAACACCACACCACACCATGTGTTATTGACAACACCACACCATGTGTTATTGACAACACCACACCATGTGTTATTGACAACACCACACCATGTGTTATTGACAACACCACACCACACCATGTGTTATTGACCACACCACACCATGTGTTATTGACAACACCACACCATGTGTTATTGACAACACCACACCATGTGTTATTGACAACACCACACCATGTGTTATTGACAACACCACACCATGTGTTATTGACAACACCACACCATGTGTTATTGACAAACACCACACATGTGTTATTGACAACACCACCACCATTTGTTATTGACCACACCACACCATGTGTTATTGACAACACCACCACCATGTGTTATTGACAACACCACACCATGTGTTATTGACAACACCACACCATGTGTTATTGACCACACCACACCATGTGTATGACAACAACACCCACACCATGTGTTATTGACAACACCACACCATGTGTTATTGACAACACCACACCACACCATGTGTTATTGACAACACCACACCATGTGTTATTGACAACACCACACCATGTGTTATTGACAACACCACACCACACCATGTGTTATTGACAACACCACACCATGTGTTATTGACAACACCACACATGTGTTATTGACAACACCACACCATGTGTTATTGACAACACCACACTACACCATGTGTTATTGACAACACCACACCATGTGTTATTGACCACACCACACCATGTGTTATTGACAACACCACACCATGTGTTATTGACAACACAACACCATGTGTTATTGACAACACCACACCACACCATGTGTTATTGACAACACCACACCATGTGTTATTGACAACACCACACCACACCATGTGTTATTGACAACACCACACCACACCATGTGTTATTGACAACACCACACCATGTGTTATTGACAACACCACACCATGTGTTATTGACAACACAACACCACACCATGTGTTATTGACAACACCAAATCATGTGTTATTGACAAAACCACACCATGTGTTATAGGACTTAACTTAACCCTTTACAGTGAGCTATTTAGACAGTATAGGACTGACCCTAACCCTAACCCTTTACTGTGAGCTATTTAGACAGTATAGGACTGACCCTAACCCTTTACTGTGAGCTACCTAGACAGTATAGGACTGACCCTAACCCTAACCCTTTACAGTGAGCTATTTAGACAGTATAGGACTGACCCTAACCCTAACCCTTTACAGTGAGCTATTTAGACAGTATAGGACTGACCCTAACCCTAACCCTTTACAGTGAGCTATTTAGACAGTATAGGACTGACCCTAACCCTTTACAGTGAGCTATTTAGACAGTATAGGACTGACCCTAACCCTAACCCTTTACAGTGAGCTATTTAGACAGTATAGGACTGACCCTAACCCTTTACAGTGAGCTATTTAGACAGTATAGGACTGACCCTAACCCTAACCCTTTACAGTGAGCTATTTAGACAGTATAGGACTGACCCTAACCCTTTACAGTGAGCTACCTAGACAGTATAATACTGACCCTAACCCTAACCCTTTACTGTGAGCTAAGGACTGAGCAAAACACAGGACTGCCGAACAGAGGAGTATGGGGACAGGATAGGTGCAACCTGATAGGCCCCAGACGATCTGTGACAAATGAGAAGGTTGTGTGAGTTGAGCGTCACAGACCAGAGAGGTTAAATTACCCTGCTCTCCTGCTAGGGTGTTCGTGGTTAAATTACCCTGCTCTCCTGCTAGGGTGTTCGTGCGAAGACCTAGCACTGGGTAGGGAACTTAGTAAGCTACCTAGTAGGGAAGCTCTATTTGCTCTGTTTCCATGGAGAAAAAGAGTGTGATTAAGTTCAGCCACTGTCAGAAGGATATCTTCTGTTTCTACGTCCCAGAGAAATGTCCAGAGTGTGGAGTGAGCTTCATCGGTGGCAGGCTGGAGCAGGCTCCTATCAGTATCCCCAACCCATTTTCTAATGGACACAAGACTCCATGCTGCTTCCTGGTCGCACCTGCTGAGGAAAACAACCTCAGGTAACCAATGACTACTGTGTTGGTGTAAAAGGCAACATGCAATTCTTAGCAGATGAACCCTAACCCTTAGGACTAACCCTAACCCTAACCCATGGACAGCTGTTCCACACATCATATTGCTGTGTTTAGGGAGATAGGGTTAGGACTACTGGGATTACAGACAATATATGACCAATCTACAGAGATTGACTGTAGATTGATATTGCTGTGTTTAGGGAGTTAGGGTTAGGACTACTGGGATTACAGACAATATAGGACCAATCTACAGAGATTGACTGTAGATTGATATTGCTGTGTTTAGGGAGTTAGGGTTAGGACTACTGGGATTACAGACAATATAGGACCAATCTACAGAGATTGAATGTAGATTGATATTGCTGTGTTTAGGGAGTTAGGGTTAGGACTACTGGGATTACAGACAATATATGACCAATCTACAGAGATTGAATGTAGATTGATATTGCTGTGTTTAGGGAGTTAGGGTTAGGACTACTGGGATTACAGACAATATATGACCAATCTACAGAGATTGACTGTAGATTGATATTGCTGTGTTTAGGGAGTTAGGGTTAGGACTACTGGGATTACAGACAATATAGGACCAATCTACAGAGATTGACTGTAGATTGATATTGCTGTGTTTAGGGAGTTAGGGTTAGGACTACTGGGATTACAGACAATATAGGACCAATCTACAGAGATTGAATGTAGATTGATATTGCTGTGTTTAGGGAGTTAGGGTTAGGACTACTGGGATTACAGACAATATATGACCAATCTACAGAGATTGACTGTAGATTGATATTGCTGTGTTTAGGGAGTTAGGGTTAGGACTACTGGGATTACAGACAATATATGACCAATCTACAGAGATTGACTGTAGATTGATATTGCTGTGTTTAGGGAGTTAGGGTTAGGACTACTGGGATTACAGACAATATAGGACCAATCTACAGAGATTGAATGTAGATTGATATTGCTGTGTTTAGGGAGTTAGGGTTAGGACTACTGGGATTACAGACAATATAGGACCAATCTACAGAGATTGACTGTAGATTGATATTGCTGTGTTTAGGGAGTTAGGGTTAGGACTACTGGGATTACAGACAATATAGGACCAATCTACAGAGATTGACTGTAGATTGATATTGCTGTGTTTAGGGAGTTAGGGTTAGGACTACTGGGATTACAGACAATATAGGACCAATCTACAGAGATTGACTGTAGATTGATATTGCTGTGTTTAGGGAGTTAGGGTTAGGACTACTGGGATTACAGACAATATAGGACCAATCTACAGAGATTGACTGTAGATTGATATTGCTGTGTTTAGGGAGTTAGGGTTAGGACTACTGGGATTACAGACAATATAGGACCAATCTACAGAGATTGAATGTAGATTGATATTGCTGTGTTTAGGGAGTTAGGGTTAGGACTACTGGGATTACAGACAATATAGGACCAATCTACAGAGATTGAATGTAGATTGATATTGCTGTGTTTAGGGAGTTAGGGTTAGGACTACTGGGATTACAGACAATATATGACCAATCTACAGAGATTGACTGTAGATTGATATTGCTGTGTTTAGGGAGTTAGGGTTAGGACTACTGGGATTACAGACAATATAGGACCAATCTACAGAGATTGACTGTAGATTGATATTGCTGTGTTTAGGGAGTTAGGGTTAGGACTACTGGGATTACAGACAATATAGGACCAATCTACAGAGATTGAATGTAGATTGATATTGCTGTGTTTAGGGAGTTAGGGTTAGGACTACTGGGATTACAGACAATATATGACCAATCTACAGAGATTGACTGTAGATTGATATTGCTGTGTTTAGGGAGTTAGGGTTAGGACTACTGGGATTACAGACAATATATGACCAATCTACAGAGATTGACTGTAGATTGATATTGCTGTGTTTAGGGAGTTAGGGTTAGGACTACTGGGATTACAGACAATATAGGACCAAACCAAGAGATTGACTGTAGATTGATATTGCTGTGTTTAGGGAGTTTGATGGAGGCTCAGACCTACACACTGGGATCACAGACACTAATGGTAGGTTCCATTTCCACACATACTGTAGCTGTACATGCTACAACTTCCCTTCACAATTTAACATCAACATGTCATTAAGACTAAAACTGCATACGCTTAATACTGACAGTCAGTGTATTTGTTCTATAGGACTGGTGTTCAACTACACTAAGCCAGGGGTCCGGCAGGACCAGCGAGGCTGGGAGATGTGTATCAGTATTCCCCTGATCCAACCAGACATGTTCAACCTCCTCAACCAGTGGGACCAATACCTCAACAAGTTCTCAGATGCCGAGATGTGGGACCCAGCATACAAAAGGTGCACCTTCGTATTGAACTTTAAGATCCTATTACTGTATTACTGATATAGGAACAGTTGATAAATTATTACTGTATTACTGACAGAGGAACAGTTGATAAAGTATATTACTGTATTACTGACAGAGGAACAGTTGATAAAGTATATTACTGTATTACTGACAGAGGAACAGTTGATAAAGTATATTACTGTATTACTGACAGAGGAACAGTTGATAAAGTATATTACTGTATTACTGACAGAGGAACAGTTGATAAAGTATATTACTGTATTACTGACAGAGGAACAGTTGATAAAGTATATTACTGTATTACTGACAGAGGAACAGTTGATAAAGTATATTACTGTATTACTGACAGAGGAACAGTTGATAAATTATTACTGTATTACTGACAGAGGAACAGTTGATAAATTATTACTGTATTACTGACAGAGGAACAGTTGATAAATTATTACTGTATTACTGACAGAGGAACAGTTGTTCAAATATATTACTGTATTACTGACAGAGGAACAGTTGATAAAGTATATTACTGTATTACTGACGGAGGAACAGTTGATAAAGTATATTACTGTATTACTGACAGAGGAACAGTTGATAAAGTATATTACTGTATTACTGACAGAGGAACAGTTGTTAAAATATATTACTGTATTACTGACAGAGGAACAGTTGATAAATTATTACTGTATTACTGACAGAGGAACAGTTGATAAAGTATATTACTGTATTACTGACAGAGGAACAGTTGTTCAAATATATTACTGTATTACTGACAGAGGAACAGTTGATAAAGTATATTACTGTATTACTGACAGAGGAACAGTTGATAAAGTATATTACTGTATTACTGACAGAGGAACAGTTGATAAAGTATATTACTGTATTACTGACAGAGGAACAGTTGATAAAGTATATTACTGTATTACTGACAGAGGAACAGTTGATAAAGTATATTACTGTATTACTGACAGAGGAACAGTTGATAAATTATTACTGTATTACTGACAGAGGAACAGTTGATAAATTATTACTGTATTACTGACAGAGGAACAGTTGATAAATTATTACTGTATTACTGACAGAGGAACAGTTGTTCAAATATATTACTGTATTACTGACAGAGGAACAGTTGATAAAGTATATTACTGTATTACTGACAGAGGAACAGTTGATAAAGTATATTACTGTATTACTGACAGAGGAACAGTTGATAAAGTATATTACTGTATTACTGACAGAGGAACAGTTGTTAAAATATATTACTGTATTACTGACAGAGGAACAGTTGATAAATTATTACTGTATTACTGACAGAGGAACAGTTGATAAAGTATATTACTGTATTACTGACAGAGGAACAGTTGTTCAAATATATTACTGTATTACTGACAGAGGAACAGTTGATAAAGTATATTACTGTATTACTGACAGAGGAACAGTTGATAAAGTATATTACTGTATTACTGACAGAGGAACAGTTGTTCAAATCTATTACTGTATTACTGACAGAGGAACAGTTGATAAAGTATATTACTGTATTACTGACAGAGGAACAGTTGTTCAAATCTATTACTGTATTACTGACAGAGGAACAGTTGTTCAAATCTATTACTGTATTACTGACAGAGGAACAGTTGTTCAAATCTATTACTGTATTACTGACAGAGGAACAGTTGATAAAGTATATTACTGTATTACTGACAGAGGAACAGTTGATAAAGTATATTACTGTATTACTGACAGAGGAACAGTTGTTTTAGCATTGAGGTATTGTATTAAAGTATTGTAATGAACATGTTTATCTTCTGGTCCTGTAGGTTTAATGAGGAGACCCACAACTGCTACAACTACACCCTGATGTTTCTAAACTGTGTGCTAGCAACACAGGGGAAAGGTTCTCTGACCAAAGACCAGTTCACTCAGAGCTTCGTCCTGCCCAGGATCAAGAGAGCCTGGAAATACACCACAATGTGCAGGGAGATATCACAGAACTACTTCTATATAGTGGACAGTCCTGTTAATACTACATAGTAAATACATCACAATGTGCAGGGAGATATCACATAACTACTTCTATATAGTGGACAGTCCTGTTAATACTACATAGTAAATACATCACAATGTGCAGGGAGATATCACAGAACTACTTCTATATAGTGGACAGTCCTGTTAATACTACATAGTAAATACATCACAATGTGCAGGGAGATATCACATAACTACTTCTATATAGTGGACAGTCCTGTTAATACTACATAGTAAATACATCACAATGTGCAGGGAGATATCACAGAACTACTTTTATATAGTGGACAGTCCTGTTAATACTACATAGTAAATACATCACAATGTGCAGGGAGATATCACATAACTACTTTTATATAGTGGACAGTCCTGTTAATACTACATAGTAAATACACCACAATGTGCAGGGAGATATCACATAACTACTTCTATATAGTGGACAGTCCTGTTAATACTACATAGTAAATACATCACAATGTGCAGGGAGATATCACATAACTACTTTTATATAGTGGACAGTCCTGTTAATACTACATAGTAAATACATCACAATGTGCAGGGAGATATCACATAACTACTTTTATATAGTGGACAGTCCTGTTAATACTACATAGTAAATACATCACAATGTGCAGGGAGATATCACATAACTACTTCTATATAGTGGACAGTCCTGTTAATACTACATAGTAAATACATCACAATGTGCAGGGAGATATCACATAACTACTTTTATATAGTGGACAGTCCTGTTAATACTACATAGTAAATACATCACAATGTGCAGGGAGATATCACATAACTACTTTTATATAGTGGACAGTCCTGTTAATACTACATAGTAAATACATCACAATGTGCAGGGAGATATCACATAACTACTTCTATATAGTGGACAGTCCTGTTAATACTACATAGTAAATACATCACAATGTGCAGGGAGATATCACATAACTACTTTTATATAGTGGACAGTCCTGTTAATACTACATAGTAAATACATCACAATGTGCAGGGAGATACTGTATCCTGTTAGAGAGACGGAGGAAGGATGAAGAGGAGAGAAGGCTTGACTGTTTGATACAAGAGGACAGAGACTGAGGCAGTCGCAGCGCTACACAGAACATGAGTTAAAATGACCATGTTGTGACCATCATCCCAGAAACCCTGGACTCACTCCAATTCACATACTGCCCCCAACAGATCCACAGATGATGCAATCTCTATTGTGCCCTCAGAGCTCATCACTAAGCTAAGGACCCTGGGACTAAACACCTCCCTCTGCAAATGGATCCTGGACTTGCTGACGGGCCGACGCCAGGTGGTAAGGGTAGGTAACAACACATCTGCCACACTGATCCTTAACACGGGGGCCCCTCAGGGGTGCGTGCTCAGTCCCCTCCTGTACTCCCTGTTCACCCACGACTGCATGGCCAGGCACGACTCCAACACCATCATTAAGTTTGCTGACAACACGACGTTGGTAGGCCTGATCACCAACAACGATGAGACAGCCTATAGGGAGGAGGTCAGAGACCTGGCCGTGTGGTGCCAGGACAACAACCTCTCCCTCAACGTGATCAAGACAAAGGAACTGGTCATGGACTACAGGAAACAGAGGGCTGAGCAGGCCCCCATCCACATCAACGGGGCTGTAGTGGAGTGGGTCGAGAGCTTTACGTTCCTCGTGTCCACATCACTAAGGAATTAACATCGTCCAAACACACCAACACAGTCGTGAAGAAGGTACAACAATGCCTCTTCCCCCTCAGGAGGGTGAAAAGATTTGGCATGGGCCCTCAGATCCTCAAAAGGTTCTACAGCTGCACCATTGAGAGCATCTTGACTGTCTGCATCACCGCCTGGTACGGCAACTGGAAGGCACCGGACTGCAAGGCGCTATAGAAGGCGGTGCGTACGGCTCACTACATCACTGGGGCCGAGCTCCCTGCCATCCAGGTAGAGGTCTTCACGGATCCACCTGTACCCGAATACCCGAGACGGGACACAAATGGGTCCGGATCCAGAATTCTAAATTATCTCACGGGTTTGGGTCGGATCTGATTATCACGGGTCTCGGGTATGTGTCATTTTAACAGACTTGTCCGGAAGGACCAATACAAATCCGAACGTGACTGCTGCAGTAGAGAGAGAAATGGTATAATTTATGCTGCTGGTCTTTGCTTTTCACAAGAATGGAGCGTGACGCGTGACGCGTGTAGCTTGTAGTTGGCCAATCAGAAGTCATCAAAGCAGCAATAGGCTACAGTCAGGGAGGCTCCGTGTGGCAGAAGTTAGGAGATATAATCAATGGAAGGAGAAGGACCAAGAGGCAATAGGTAGGCTGCTACTTAATAATGGAGCTGTTATTTGTAACTCTGTAGTACGAGAATGCAGCTTCAATTAGCCTAGCTAGCTTAACGAGCTTCTCCTGGTTTGATGCAGTAAAGACAGGTGTAATCATATTGGATGATCAATAACCAAGCTATGGAAGCTATTCATCTACTATAGCGCAAGTCGGCTTGGTTGGTTGGTTGGTTGGTTGGTTGGATGGTTGGTTGGTTGGTTGGATGGTTGGTTGGTTGGTTGGTTGGATGGTTGGTTGGTTGGTTGGTTGGATGGTTGGTTGGTTGGATGGTTGGTTGGATGGTTGGTTGGTTGGTTGGTTGGTTGGTTGGTTGGATGGTTGGTTGGTTGGATGGTTGGTTGGTTGGTTGGTTGGTTGGATGGTTGGTTGGTTGGTTTCTTTAGTCTCTCCCTCCCTGTTTCCGTGTCACTCGCTCACACTCACAGTAGCATTCACACAGCACCTGCTAGAGCATCACCTCTCTACCTCATGTCCCTCGCGTTTTATCAGCTCCAGTTAAAAGTCGCTTTTAGTCTATTGATCTAAGTAACATAATAAAAAAATCCCCTTCAAAATCTGTCAGTTTAAAGAAAAAAAGAAAATAATCTACTTCATATTCATAATCTCCAGCACCACCTCATCAACCAATTAGTAGGCAATGCCTCCTCTTAATTGGTTAAAATCACACGATGCACAGTGATGATGTCATTGGAAACACTTATCTTCCTCTATCTTTTTTACTAAAAAACAGAAACGAGCCATTTTCACATGTTGGATGGTGGAGTGGTGCTGGAGATGATGAACATGAAGTAGAAATTGTTTTTAATGTCCCTTTAAGCCTGATGTGTTTTATGGGCTGCATCTCAATCCACCACATCCGCCTATGTCGGCCTGGGCTGCATCTCATTCCACCACATCCGCCTATGTCGGCCTGGGCTGCATCTCATTCCACCACATCCGCCTATGTCGGCCTTAAGCATCTGCTACAGCGCTGTTTTGTCAGACCAGGAGACATCCCAAAAATCGGTCTTCTCACAAAAACGTCTGTAGCGTCCGAACTGTTTGGCCTACAAACTAATATGACCACTCTATGGAATCCAAACAGTTTGGGCTACAAACTACACTGAACAAAAATATAAACGCAACATGCAACAATTTCAAAGATTTGACTGAGTTACAGTTCATATAAGGAAATCAGTACAATTGAAATGAATTCATTAGGCCCTAATCTATGGATTTCACATGACTGGGAATACAGATACGCATCTGTTGGTCACAGATACTTTAAAACAGTAGGGGCGTGGATCAGAAAACCAGTCAGTATCTGGTGTGACCCCCATTTGCCTTATGCAGAGCGACACATCTCCATAGAGTTGATCAGGCTGTTGATTGTGGCCTGTGGAATGTTGTCCCACTCCTCTTCAATGGCTGTGTGAAGTTGCTGGATGTTGGTGGGAAATGGAACACGCTGTCGTACACGTCGAGCCAGAGCATCCCTCAATGGGTGACATGTCTGGTGAGCAAGTAGGCCATGGAAGATCTGGGACATTTTCAGCTTCCAGGAATTGTGTACAGATCCTTGTGACATGGGGCCGTGCATTATCATGCTGAAACATGAGGTGATGGCGCAGGTTGAATGGCAATACAATTGGCCTGAGGAGCTCGTCACGGTATCTCTGTGCATTATCATGCTGAAACATGAGGTGATGGCGCAGGTTGAATGGCAATACAATTGGCCTGAGGAGCTCGTCACGGTATCTCTGTGCATTATCATGCTGAAACATGAGGTGATGGCGCAGGTTGAATGGCAATACAATTGGCCTGAGGAGCTCGTCACGGTATCTCTGTGCATTATCATGCTGAAACATGAGGTGATGGCGCAGGTTGAATGGCAATACAATTGGCCTGAGGAGCTCGTCACGGTATCTCTGTGCATTATCATGCTGAAACATGAGGTGATGGCGCAGGTTGAATGGCAATACAATGGGCCTCAGGATCTCGTCACCGTATCTCTGTGTTGAATGGCAATACAATTGGTTAGGGTTAGGGTTGGGCCTGAGGAGCTTGCAATCGATAAAATGCAACTGTGTTTGTTGTCCGTAGCTTATCCCTGCCTATACCATAACCCCACCGCCACCATGGGGCACTAGCTTATCCCTGCCTATACCATAACCCCACCGCCACCATGGGGCACTAGCTTATCCCTGCCTATACCATAACCCCACCGCCACCATGGGGCACTAGCTTATCCCTGCCTATACCATAACCCCACCGCCACCATGGGGCACTAGCTTATCCCTGCCTATACCATAACCCCACCGCCACCATGGGGCACTAGCTTATCCCTGCCTATACCATAACCCCACCGCCACCATGGGGCACTAGCTTATCCCTGCCTATACCATAACCCCACCGCCACCATGGGGCACTAGCTTATCCCTGCCTATACCATAACCCCACCGCCACCATGGGGTACTAGCTTATCCCTGCCTATACCATAACCCCACCGCCACCATGGGGCACTAGCTTATCCCTGCCTATACCATAACCCCACCGCCACCATGGGGCACTGTTCACAACGTTGACGTCAGTAAACCGCTCGCCCACACGACGCCATACACGCTGTCTGCCCAGTACAGTTGAAACTGGGATTCATCCATGAAGAGCACACTTCTCCAGCGTGCCAGTGGCCATCGAAGGTGAGCATTTTCCCACTGAAGTTGGTTACGACGCCGAACTGCAGTCAGGTCAAGACCCTGGTGAGGATGACGAGCACGCAGATGAGCTTCCCTGAGACGGTTTCTGACAGTTTGTGCAGAAATTCTTCAGTTGTGCAAAACCACAATGTGTTATTCAATCTGTCTCTATGGGCGTAGTAGTAAAAGCTAAATTCAGTATTTTATCAAATATTTATTATCATTATTATCATTATCATTATTATACCTACAGGGGTCCAAATAGCTATAATGACCATCTTAAAAAATACTTTGAGGTTAATAAAGTAGCTTAAAAATATACTTTTCTGCTGCTTCCCTCACTCGGATCGTCCGGGGTCTGGATCCGACCAGGTCTATACGGAACGTGGCTAGTTGTCCTCGGGTCTGTTCGGAACGGGTCCTGATATTTAAAATGTTTTAACTAATTTATGCGTATACTGGCCCAATGTTCTTACCTGCCACCCATAAGCTGCTGCTGCTGTTTAGGGTTAGTTACTATCTGGGTTAGGGCTAGGGCTAGGGCTAGGGTTAGGGTTAGTTACTATCTGGGTTAGGGGTTAGGGTTAGTTACTATCTGGGTTAGGGCTAGGGCTAGGGCTAGGGTTAGGGTTAGGGCTAGGGTTAGGGTTAGTTACTATCTGGGTTAGGGTTAGGGTTAGGGGTTAGGGGTTAGGGTTAGTTACTATCTGGGTTAGGGTTAGGGTTAGGGGTTAGGGTTAGTTACTATCTGGGTTAGGGTTAGGGTTAGGGTTAGTTACTATCTGGGTTAGGGTTAGGGTTTAGGGTTAGGGTTAGTTACTATCTGGGTTAGGGTTAGGGTTAGTTACTATCTGGGTTAGGGTTAGGGTTAGTTACTATCTGGGTTAGGGTTAGGGTTAGTTACTATCTGGGTTAGGGTTAGGGTTAGGGTTAGTTACTATCTGGGTTAGGGTTAGTTACTATCTGGGTTAGGGTTAGTTACTATCTGGGTTAGGGTTAGGGTTAGTTACTATCTGGGTTAGGGTTAGTTACTATCTGGGTTAGGGTTAGTTACTATCTGGGTTAGGGTTAGGGTTAGTTACTATCAGTCACTTTATTCCTAGCTATATGAACATATCTACCTCCATTACCTCGTAGCCCTGCACATGGACTCGGTACTGGTACTCCATGTATATAGCCAAGTTATCGTTACTCATTGTGTATTTATTCCTCGTGTTATCTTTCTATAACTTTTCTCTCTGCATTGTTGGAAATGGCCCATAAGTCAGCATTTCACTGTTAGTCTCCACCTGTTGTTTATGAAGCATGTGACAAATAAAATGTTATTTGATTGACAGTGAGGCCATGTTGTCTTCCTACACTAGAACACTGGGAATTACATTGACATTACATGCCTTAGACCACTGCGCCAACCAATTACCCAGGTCTCCTCTAGAGACCATCACCTTACACACACACAGAGCTAATGGATTAAGACAAGACAATTTATAGCATATTCTTAATCATAATCTCAATTTTTTACTTTTACTTTCGTCAAATAGAAAAAGTTGTTAAAAAGCATGTTCAAAAACAATGTTTATTGATACTTGATTGATAGTTACAACACTAAATTCCACTGAAAATCAGTCACTGAAATGGATGGAGGGCCTTCAGAAAGTATTCATACCCCTTGACTTATTCCACATTGTTGTTACAGCATGAATTCAATCATTATTTTCTCACCCATCTACACACAACACCCCATAGTGACAAAGTGAAAACATGTTTTTAGACATTTTTGCTAATTCATTGAAAATTAAATACTGACATCTCATTTACATAAGTATTCAGCTCCCCGAATCAAAACGTTGAGTCACCTTTGGCAGCGATTACAGCTGTGAGTCTTTCTGGGTAAGTCTAAGAGCTTTGCACACCTGGATAGTACAATATTCTTCTTAAAATTCTTCAAGCTGTGTCAAGTTTGTTGTTGATCATTGCTAGATAGCCATTTTCAAGTCTTGCCACAGATTGTCAAGCCGATTTAAGTCAAAACTATAACTAGGCCACTCAGGAACATTCAATGTCGTATTGGTAAGCAACTCCAGTATATATTTGTCCTTGTTTTTTAGGTTATTGTCCTGCTGAAAGGTGAATTTTGTCTCCCAGTGTCTGGTGGAAAGCAGACTGAACCAAGTTTTCCTCTAGGATTTAGCCTGTTCTTAGCTCTATTCCGTTTCATTTCATCATAACAAACTCCCTAGTCCTTGCCGATGACAAGCATACCCATAACATGATGCAGCCACCACCATGCTTGAAAATATGAAGAGTGGTACTCAGTGTTGTGTTGGATTTGCCCCAAACAGAACGCTTTGTATTCAGGACATAAAGTGAATTTCTTTGCCACATTTTCTGCAGTTTTTGGTGCCTTATTACAAACCGGATGCATGTTTTGGAATATTTTTATTCTGTACAGGCTTCCTTCTTTTCACTCTGTGATTTAGGTTAGTATTGTGGAGTAACTACAATGTTGTTGATCTATCCTCAGTTTTCTCCGATCACAGCCATTAAACTGTTTTTAAATCACCATTGGCCTCATGGTGAAATCCCTGAGCGGTTTCCTTCCTCTCCGGCAACTGAGTTAGGAAGGACGCCTGTATCTTTGTAGTGACTGGGTGTATCGATACACCATCCAAAGTGTAATTAATAACTTCACCATGCTCAAAGGGATATTCAATGTCTGCTTCTTTTATTTTTACCCATCTACCAATAGGTGCTCTTCTTTGTGAGGCATTGGAAAACCTCCCTGGTCTTTGTGGTTAAATCTGTGCTTGAAATTCACTGCTCGACTGAGGGACCTTACAGATGATTGTATGTGTGGGGTACAGAGATGAGGTAGTCATTCAAAAATCATGTTAAACACTATTATTGCACAGAGTGAGTCCATGCAACTTATGTGACTTAAGCAAAATGTGTACTCCTGAAATTATGTAGGCTTGCCATAACAAAGTAGTTAAATACAAGACATTTCAGTTTAAATTGTTATTAATTTTTAAAAATGTCTAAAAACATAATTCCACTTTGACATTATGGGGTATTGTGTGTAGGCCAGTGACACAAAATCAAAATGTTACCCATTTTAAATTCAGGCTGTAATGTAACAAAATGTGGAAAATGTCAAGGGGTGTGAATACTTTCTGAAGACACTATGTACACAGCAGACAAAAAAGTTAAGATGTCATGTCATATGTCGTCCGTCTCTGTCCGTTCTCGTGATGATATCCATCTGCTTAAAATAATCTCCTAAAGATGAACAGATTAGAGAGAAAGAGGAGAGATGAGAAGTAAAGGGTTAGCAGAGAAAGGGTTCAATATAAATATAACATGCCATTTAGCAGACGCTTTTATCTAAAGCGACTTACAGTCATGTGTGCATGAATTTTTACGTATGGGTGGTCCTGGGGATCGAACCCACTACCCTGGCGTTACAAGCGCCATGCTCTACCAATTGAGCTACAGAGGACCACCCATAACAGAGAAAGGGTTAACAGAGAGAGGGTTAACAGAGAAAGGGTTAACAAAGAAAGGGTTAACAGAGAGAGGGTTAACAGAGAAAGGGTTAACAGAGAGAGGGTTAACAGAGAGAGGGTTAACAGAGAGAGGGTTAACAGAGAGAGGGTTAACAGAGAAAGGGTTAACAGAGAAAGGGTTAGGGTTAACAGAGAAAGGGTTAACAGAGAAAGGGTTAACAGAGAAAGGGTTAACAGAGAAAGGGTTAGGGTTAACAGAGAGAGGGTTAACAGAGAAAGGGTTAACAGAGAAAGGGTTAACAGAGAAAGGGTTAACAGAGAAAGGGTTAGGGTTAACAGAGAAAGGGTTAACAGAGAAAGAGTAAGGGTTAACAGAGAAAGGGTTAACAGAGAAAGGGTTAACAGAGAAAGGGTTAACAGAGAAAGGGTTAACAGAGAAAGGGTTAGGGTTAGACGGAAGTCATACCTGAACTGTGACCCTGCAGAGACAGTCTGGAGAGGAGAGATGTTCCTCTGTCAGGTGAGATGGGTAGATGATGTAGCACAGCATCAAGTCCTAGAATACAATACACAGGGTAGCCAAGCATCAAGTCCTAGAATACAATACACAGAGTAGCCAAGCATCAAGTCCTAGAATACAATACACAGAGTAGCCAAGCATCAAGTCCTAGAATACAATACACAGAGTAGCCAAGCATCAAGTCCTAGAATACAATACACAGGGTAGCCAAGCATCAAGTCCTAGAATACAATACACAGAGTAGCCAAGCCATCAAGTCCTAGAATACAATACACAGAGTAGCCAAGCATCAAGTCCTAGAATACAATACACAGGGTAGCCAAGCATCAAGTCCTAGAATACAATACACAGGTAGCCAAGCATCAAGTCCTAGAATACAATACACAGGGTAGCCAAGCATCAAGTCCTAGAATACAATACACAGGGTAGCCAAGCATCAAGTCCTAGAATACAATACACAGAGTAGCCAAGCATCAAGTCCTAGAATACAATACACAGAGTAGCCAAGCATCAAGTCCTAGAATACAATACACAGGGTAGCCAAGCATCAAGTCCTAGAATACAATACACAGGGTAGCCAAGCATCAAGTCCTAGAATACAATACACAGAGTAGCCAAGCATCAAGTCCTAGAATACAATACACAGGGTAGCCAAGCATCAAGTCCTAGAATACAATACACAGGGTAGCCAAGCATCAAGTCCTAGAATACAATACACAGAGTAGCCAAGCATCAAGTCCTAGAATACAATACACAGAGTAGCCAAGCATCAAGTCCTAGAATACAATACACAGAGTAGCCAAGCATCAAGTCCTAGAATACAATACACAGGGTAGCCAAGCATCAAGTCCTAGAATACAATACACTATATATACACTACACACTAACTACTACATAGACTATATACTACACACTGCATATACTAACTATAATACAACTCAATATTAGAAAGGTGTTCTTAATGTTTTGTCCACTCAGTGTATTTTTACATCTTAGTTATCTGTCAGGTGAGATGGGTAGATGAGGTAGCACAGCATCCACTCCTGGAATACCATATGGTTGACTTAGAGTTACTTAGTTATGAGAATGTGTATGTTATTGTGAACATATTTGTATTAGGTGTAGACACCACCATGAATATGCCCCAAGGATAGGTAGGGGTGCATACAAATCCTAAAATTAGAATTTAATTATATTAGAAATAACATTGTAATTCTATGGTGGGCTGGACCCAGGCAGTAAGGTGAAGGTGCATTACCTTGGAAACGTTGCCGGTAATCCTGCTGAGAGCAGCCAGAGACCTCCAGCTGAACGGCCGTAGAGCCCCTCCTCTGCACGGCTGGTGTACCTTCTCAACCACCACAGAGTAACTAGAGGGAGTGGGATGGAGATCAATATCTCAGATAAACACTGTTTAAACAATTAGTGGATCTCAATGGAAATGTTAATGTACTGTAATTCATACAAACCTTGAATGGTAGAAAGGTGGTCCTTTTCGGTAAAGCACTGCATGGAAGAGAAAATACAGCACAAGCCAATAAGACTAACAGAATCATCATAGCATCAAGAATCAAGACATCTGAGCGTCAAGAGTGTTTTGTTATGGTTGGAGGATCACAGTCAACCCATTAAAATAGGGGAGTCTAACTCATTCAATGGAGGGTCTAGTGTCTGCTGGTCTTTCCTTTCAACAGAGACCTAGACAACCAGGTGAGGGGAGTTCCTTACTAAGACCTAGACAACCAGGTGAGGGGAGTTCCTTACTAAGACCTAGACAACCAGGTGAGGGGAGTTCCTTACTAAGACCTAGACAACCAGGTGAGGGGAGTTCCTTACTAAGACCTAGACAACCAGGTGAGGGGAGTTCCTTACTAAGACCTAGACAACCAGGTGAGGGGAGTTCCTTACTAAGACCTAGACAACCAGGTGAGGGGAGTTCCTTACTAAGACCTAGACAACCAGGTGAGGGGAGTTCCTTACTAAGACCTAGACAACCAGGTGAGCGGAGTTCCTTACTAAGACCTAGACAACCAGGTGAGGGGAGTTCCTTACTAAGACCTAGACAACTATGTGGGGAGTTCCTTACTAAGACCTAGACAACCAGGTGAGGGGAGTTCCTTACTAAGACCTAGACAACCAGGTGAGGGGAGTTCCTTACTAAGACCTAGACAACTAGATGGGGAGTTCCTTACTAAGACCTAGACAACCAGGTGAGCAGAGTTCCTCACTAAGACCTAGACAACCAGGTGAGGGGAGTTAACCCATTAAACTAACAGTGAAACTATACCGCAAACATTCACAGTCAACCAATTAAACAGTGAATCTAAACCGCAAAGATTCACGGTTGTCATGACTCTCCTTGTAGAGGTGCCAGATCAGCTTGACACATGGTTGGGGAGAGGGGGGGTTGGGCCGGTTTTATGACTTAACAGCCGGTCATAAATAGTTTGCAGACTGAAATCTCTGTTATAGAGAGACTTTTGCCGCCAAAACCTTTTTCTCCAAAAGATTGGACATTAGAACATTATTTCTAACATCCAAATGTTTGGAATGTTTGGTGGGGATGTAAACAATAATCATGTGGTTTATTATTTTGTGATGTCATTAAGGATGGTATAACAAATGAACTAACTCTGAAAGTTTCTGGGTCGGGTTTGGGTTAGGGTTAGCATCTAAATGGTTCGCATTCTGGGTCGGGTTTGCATCTAAATGGTTCGCATTCTGGGTCGGGTTTGCATCTAAATGGTACGCATTCTGGGTCGGGTTTGCATCTAAAGTGTTCGCATTCTGGGTCGGGATTGCATCTAAATGGTACGCATTCTGGGTCGGGTTTGCATCTAAATGGTACGCATTCTGGGTCGGGTTTGCATCTAAATGTTGTATAAAATATATGATAAGTATGAGAATACTTTTGTGATGATAGGAATGTGATTTTAGTCTACTAATAAGATAATAGTTTTTCATATAAACTATGCACAGTGACTAGCCACGCCCGAGTGACATCAGAGATCGTGTCATCACGATGGAACGCCCCTTTTACCCAGAGGGCATAAAAACAGCTTGAAAAACAAATTAACCTTTAGACCTGGAAGCGTGGAGCTGTGGCTACATGGCTTGAAATGGTTAGACCAGGAAGCGTGGAGCTGTGGCTACATGGCTTAAAATGGTTAGACCAGGAAGCGTGGAGCTGTGGCTACATGGCTTAAAATGGTTAGACCAGGAAGCGTGGAGCTGTGGCTACATGGCTTAAAATAGTTAGACCAGGAAGCGTGGAGCTGTGGCTACATGGCTTAAAATGGTTAGACCAGGAAGCGTGGAGCTGTGGCTACATGGCTTAAAATGGTTAGACCAGGAAGCGTGGAGCTGTGGCTACATGGCTTAAAATGGTTAGACCAGGAAGCGTGGAGCTGTGGCTACATGGCTTAAAATGGTTAGACCAGGAAGCGTGGAGCTGTGGCTACATGGCTAAAATGGTTAGACCAGGAAGCGTGGAGCTGTGGCTACATGGCTTAAAATGGTTAGACCAGAAAACGTGGAGCTGTGGCTACATGGCTTAAAATGGTTAGACCAGGAAGCGTGGAGCTGTGGCTACATGGCTTAAAATGGTTAGACCAGGAAGCGTGGAGCTGTGGCTACATGGCTTAAAATGGTTAGACCAGGAAGCGTGGAGCTGTGGCTACATGACTTAAAATGGTTAGACCAGGAAGCGTGGAGCTGTGGCTACATGGCTTAAAATGGTTAGACCAGAAAACGTGGAGCTGTGGCTACATGGCTTAAAATGGTTAGACCAGGAAGCGTGGAGCTGTGGCTACATGGCTTAAAATGGTTAGACCAGGAAGCGTGGAGCTGTGGCTACATGGCTTAAAATGGTTAGACCAGGAAGCGTGGAGCTGTGGCTACATGGCTTAAAATGGTTAGACCAGAAAACGTGGAGCTGTGGCTACATGGCTTAAAATGGTTAGACCAGGAAGCGTGGAGCTGTGGCTACATGGCTTAAAATGGTTAGACCAGGAAGCGTGGAGCTGTGGCTACATGGCTTAAAATGGTTAGACCAGGAAGCGTGGAGCTGTGGCTACATGACTTAAAATGGTTAGACCAGGAAGCGTGGAGCTGTGGCTACATGGCTTAAAATGGTTAGACCAGAAAACGTGGAGCTGTGGCTACATGGCTTAAAATGGTTAGACCAGGAAGCGTGGAGCTGTGGCTACATGGCTTAAAATGGTTAGACCAGGAAGCGTGGAGCTGTGGCTACATGGCTTAAAATGGTTAGACCAGGAAGCGTGGAGCTGTGGCTACATGGCTTAAAATGGTTAGACCAGGAAGCGTGGAGCTGTGGCTACATGGCTTAAAATGGTTAGACCAGGAAGCGTGGAGCTGTGGCTACATGGCTTAAAATGGTTAGACCAGGAAGCGTGGAGCTGTGGCTACATGGCTTAAAATGGTTAGACCAGGAAGCGTGGAGCTGTGGCTACATGGCTTAAAATGGTTAGACCAGGAAGCGTGGAGCTGTGGCTACATGGCTTAAAATGGTTCGACCAGAAAACGTGAGAGTGGCGACTGCACGTTTAGAATGGTTAGACCTTTGAATGAGAAAGACCAGACAACATGAAGCGCGAGCTCACGTTACAAATGGTTGAACCTCTACAGACCAGAAAACGTGAGACGGTAGTCCATACGTTTCAAATGATGAAACTCTCAATCTCTACACGAGAAGAAGACCACACACTAGACCGTAGCGTTATCAGTCTGCAGCTGGCATGTAAAGTTGTCTAGACCTTTCACTAAAGACACCAGTTGGGAAGGACCATCCCTCTCAGACAACCGTTGGTACATCTGAAGTATCTATTCTAACGAACACTCCATTCGAAGACAAGCCGAGTCTCACCGAAGTGGGATAGGACACTCAAACCCTTTTTGAGAAAGTGGTTCAACAGAGAGATGACGATCAAGGACAGCTACGCGTAAATATGCATTGCGGGAGGCCCCGCTCTCTCCTTTCCCATATGTTTAGTTCATTTTATTCCGATCTCCTCTGCATTATTGTAGCCATCTGCTGCAGCCTGTCAACTATGTCTCTGCCTATCCCTGTTCTCTCCTCTCCGCACAGGCTACACAAACGCCTCACACCGCGTGGCTGCTGCCTCTCTAACCTGGTGGTCCCTGCACGCACGACCCACGTGGAGTTCCAGGTCTCAGGCAGCCTCTGGAACTGCCGTTCTGCTGCCAACAAGGCAGACTTCATCCCAGCCTATGCTACCCTCCAGTCCCTCGACTTCTTGGCGCTGACGGAAACATGGATTACCACTGAAAACACTGCTACTCCTGCTGCTCTCTCCTCGTCTGACCATGTGTTCTCGCATACCCCGAGAGCATCTGGTCAGCGGGGTGGTGGCACAGGAATCCTCATCTCTCCCAAGTGGACATTCTCAATTTTTCCCCTGACCCATCTGTCTGTCTCCTCATTTGAATTCCATGCTGTCACAGTCACTAGCCCATTTAAGCATAATATCCTTGTCATCTATCGCCCTCCAGGTTCCCTTGGAGAGTTCATCAATGAGCTTGACGCCTTGATAAGTTCCTTTCCTGAGGATGGCTCACCCCTCACAGTTCTGGGGGATTTCAACCTCCCTACGTCTACATTTGACTCATTTCTCTCTGCCTCCTCCTTTCCACTCCTCTCCTCTTTTGACCTCACCCTCTCACCGTCCCCCCCTACTCACAAGGCAGGCAATACGCTTGACCTCATCTTTACTAGATGCTGTTCTTCTACTAATCTCACTGCAACTCCCCTCCAAGTCTCCGACCACTACTTTGTATCCTTTTCCATCTCCCTCTACTCCAACACTACTCACTCTGCCCCTACACAGATGGTAATGCGCCGTCGCAACCTTCGCTCTCTCTCTCCCGCTACTCTCTCCTCTTCCATCCTATCATCTCTTCCCTCTGCTCAATCCTTCTCCCTCCAATCTCCTGATTCTGCCTCCTCAACCCTCCTCTCCTCCCTTTCTGCATCCTTTGACTCTCTATGTCCCCTATCCTCCCGGCCGGCTCGGTCCTCCCCTCCAGCTCCGTGGCTTGATGACTCATTGCGAGCTCACAGAACAGAGCTCCGGGCAGCTGAGCGGAAATGGAAGAAAACTAGACTCCCTGCAGACCTGGCATCTTTTCACTCCCTCCTCTCTACATTTTCTTCATCTGTTTCTGCTGCTAAGGCCACTTTCTACCACTCTAAATTCCAAGCATCCTCCTCTAAACCTAGGAAGCTCTTTGCCACATTCTCCTCCCTGCAAAATCCCCCCCCCCCCCTCCCTCTCTGTGGATGACTTCGTCAACCATTTTGAAAAGAAGGTTGACGACATCCGATCCTCGTTTGTTAAGTCAAATGACACTGCTGGTTCTGCTCACACTGCCCTACCCTATGCTTTGACTTCTTTCTCCCCTCTCTCTCCAGATAAAATCTTGCGACGGCAGGCCGCCCAACAACCTGCCCGCTTGACCCTATCCCCTCCTCTCTTCTCCAGACCATCTCCGGTGACCTTCTCCCTTACCTCACCTCGCTGATCAACTCATCCTTGACCGCTGGCTATGTCCCTTCCGTCTTCAAGAGAGCGAGAGTTGCACCCCTTCTCAAAAAACCAACACTCGATCCCTCTGATGTCAACAACTACAGACCAGTATCCCTTCTTTCTTTTCTCTCCAAAACTATTGAGCGTGCCGTCTTTATCCAACTCTCTTGCTATCTCTCTCAGAATGACCTTCTTGATCCAAACCAGTCAGGTTTCAAGACTGGTCATTCAACTGAGACTGCTCTTCTCTGTGTCACAGAGGCTCTCCGCACTGCTAAAGCTAACTCTCTCTCCTCTGCTCTTGTCCTTCTAGACCTGTCTGCTGCCTTTGATACTGTGAACCATCAGATCCTCCTCTCCACCCTCTCCGAGCTGGGCATCTCCGGCGCGGCTCACTCTTGGATTGCGTCCTACCTGACCGGTCGCTCCTACCAAGTGGCGTGGCGAGAAGCTGTCTCCGCACCACGTGCTCCTCCTATTCTCGCTATACACCAAGTCACTTGGCTCTGTCATATCCTCACATGGCCTCTCCTATCATTGCTACGCTGACGACACACAACTAATCTTCTCCTTTCCCCCTTCTGATAACCAGGTGGCGAATCGCATCTCTGCATGTCTGGCAGACATATCAGTATGGATGACGGATCACCACCTCAAGCTGAACCTCGGCAAGACGGAGCTGCTCTTCCTCCCGGGGAAGGACTGCCCGTTCCATGATCTCGCCATCACGGTTGACAACTCCGTTGTGTCCTCCTCCCAGAGTGCGAAGAGCCTTGGCGTGACTCTGGACAACACCCTGTCGTTCTCCGCTAACATCAAGGCGGTGACCCGATCCTGTAGGTTCATGCTCTACAACATTCGGAGAGTACGACCCTGCCTTACACAGGAAGGTACACAGGTCCTAATCCAGGCACTTGTCATCTCCCGTCTGGATTACTGCAACTCGCTGTTGGCTGGGCTCCCTGCCTGTGCCATTAAACCCCTACAACTCATCCAGAATGCCGCAGCCCGTCTGGTGTTCAACCTTCCCAAGTTCTCTCACGTCACCCCGCTCCTCCGCACACTCCACTGGCTTCCAGTTGAAGCTCGCATCTGCTACAAGACCATGGTGCTTGCCTACGGAGCTGTGAGGGGAACGGCACCTCCGTACCTTCAGGCTCTGATCAGTCCCTACACCCAAACGAGGGCACTGCGTTCATCCACCTCTGGCCTGCTGGCTCCCCTATCTCTGCGGAAGCATAGTTCCCGCTCAGCCCAGTCAAAACTGTTCGCTGCTCTGGCACCCCAATGGTGGAACAAGCTCCCTCACGACGCCAGGACAGCGGAGTCACTCACCACCTTCCGGAGACATTTGAAACCCCACCTCTTTAAGGAATACCTGGGATAGGATAAAGTAATCCTTCTACCCCCCCCCCCCCCCCAAAAAAAAAACATTGTAAAGTGGTTATCCCACTGGCTATAAGGTGAATGCACCTATTTGTAAGTCGCTCTGGATAAGAGCGTCTGCTAAATGACGTAAATGTAAATGTAATTGCATTTCTTATCCGAATGAGTGGTGGTTTCCAAATGTAACAACGATAAGTTGAATCTCTGTCTCTTACTTTCACTCTCTTTCTATTGACCCTCCTTCCCATAACATTTTAGACATTTAGCAGACACTCTCACCCAGAGCGACTTACAGTTGGTGAGTGCATACATTATTTTTTATTTATTTCATACTGGCCCCCCGTGGGAATCGAACCCACAACCCTGGCGTTGCAAACGCCATGCTCTACCAACTGAGCTACATCCCTGCCGGCCATTCCTTCCCCTACCCTGGACGACGCTGGGCCAATTGTGCGCCGCCCCATGGGTCTCAATTTTAGAATAAGGCTGTAACGTAACAAAATGTGGAAAAGGTCAAGGGGTCTGAATACTTTCCGAAGGCACTTTATCTCAAAATCATTGTCATGTGGTTCATCAAAATTCTATCCAAAACTAAATGAAAATGATACAAACTTAAAAAGTAACTTCTATTGCCAACTATGTAAAAATAGCCTCCATAAAGCCAACAAATAAAATCATTGCAGCCTGCAGGTAGAAAATATCCTGATGAAAATAAATATCCTATAAATCACATTGGCTACACATGGCCTGTCTGCAACGAACTGGAAACACTGTATAAAATATTCTAGGTCCTCAGAGTTTCCTGCCAGTGACAGACACAGCTGTAGGATAAGAAGCAGTGCTTGACTTGGGCAGGAGCTCACCTGAGCTGAGTACTCAAATGTTCTACTGCTTCAACTCCTGTTCCTGTTATAGAATATTCGCTCAAAAGTACTGTGGAGCTCCTGCATCTAAACGAACAGTACCAGAACCCAAGATGAGTACCGGAACCTATTAACCCTAACCCTAACCCTAACAGTACCAGCACCCAAAATGAGTACCGGAACCTATTTCAGTCCAAGTCAAGCACTGATAAGAAGTAATCAGGTACAGTGCCTTGCAAAAGTATTCATCCCCCTTGGCGTTTTTCCTATTTTGTAGCATTACAACCTGTGATGGATTTAAAATGGATTTTTATTTGGATTTCATGTAATGGACATACACAAAATAGTCCAAATTGGTGAAGTGAAATGAAAAAAATAACTTGTTTCAAATAATTCAAAAAAATAAATAACGGAAAAGTGGTGCGTGCTATGAAGCCCCTAAATAAGATCTGGTGCAACCAATTACCTGGGCAAAAAATCCCAGTGGCTAGATGTGCCAAGCTTATAGACATACCCCAAGAGACTTGCAGCTGTAATTGCTGCAAAAGGTGGGCTCTACAAAGTATTGACTTTGGGGGGGGTGAATAGTTATGCACGCTCAAGTTCTGTTTTTTTGTCTTATTTCTTGTTTGTTTCACAATAAAACATATTTTGCATCTTCAAAGTGGTAGGCATGTTGTGTAAATGAAATTATACAACCCCCCCCAAAAAAAATCCATTTTAATTCCAGGTTGTAAGGCAACAAAATAACAAAAATGCCAAGGGGGGTGAATACATTCACAAGCCACTGTATATATCAATGAATTGGCGAGGGCACTAAAACAGTCTGCAATAAATTAACTTATTATTAACTCACTGAGGTCAGTCCCGTACTTCACCCCAGGCTTGGGCACCCACCCCCTGCTGCGGAAGTAATGGTAGGCCATGTATGAAGTCTCAAAGTGGGGCTGGACCGACCGGAACATCTCCCACAGCTGGAGCACAGACAACGGCTCCTGAAGAGGGTTAGGGTTAGAACAAACAAGACTCTTACCAAACAAGACTCTTACCAAACAAGACTCTTACCAAACAAGACTCGCACCATTTAGATTTTAGTCATTTAGCAGACACTCTCACCCAGAGCGACTTACAGTTAGTGAGAGCATACATTATTTTTTATTTTTTTCATACTGGCCCCCCGTGGGAATCGAACCCACAACCCTGGCGTTGCAAACGCCATGCTCTACCAACTGAGCTACATCCCTGCCGGCCATTCCCTCCCCTACCCTGGACGACGCTGGGCCAATTGTGCGCCGCCCCGTGGGTCTCCCGGTCGCGGCCGGCTACGACAGAGTAAACAAACATGCACCATAACAGCAAAGGCTTTAGTTAATATGACGTATAATATGTTTATAAGACTGTAGCTTCTTACCTCATTGTAGTAAACTGAAAGGCATCCTAATGCATAGACCAAGAAGAAAGCCTGAAAGAAGAAAATAATGTTCAAAAGATTAGAAAAAGAGAAATACAGCGGGAGGACCCTACTCCTAATGTTGGGGTGCTATCTAAAGATCTATCCCTAGGTCACTGGTCACCAACCGGTCGATCTATCCCTAGGTCAGTGGTCACCAACCGGTCGATCTATCCCTAGATCAGTGGTCACCAACCGGTCGATCTATCCCTAGGTCAGTGGTCACCAACCGGTCGATCTATCCCTAGATCAGTGGTCACCAACCGGTCTATCTATCCCTAGATCAGTGGTCACCAACCGGTCGATCTATCCCTAGGTCAGTGGTCACCAACCGGTCGATCTATCCCTAGGTCAGTGGTCACCAACCGGTCGATCTATCTATCCCTAGGTCAGTGGTCACCAACCGGTCGATCTATCCCTAGGTCAGTGGTCACCAACCGGTCGATCTATCCCTAGGTCAGTGGTCACCAACCGGTCGATCTATCCCTAGGTCAGTGGTCACCAACCGGTCGATCTATCCCTAGATCAGTGGTCACCAACCGGTCGATCTATCCCTAGGTCAGTGGTCACCAACCGGTCGATCTCAACCGGTCGATCTATCCCTAGGTCAGTGGTCACCAACCGGTCGATCTATCCCTAGGTCAGTGGTCACCAACCGGTCGATCTATCCCTAGGTCAGTGGTCACCAACCGGTCGATCTATCCCTAGGTCAGTGGTCACCAACCGGTCGATCTATCCCTAGGTCAGTGGTCACCAACCGGTCGATCTATCCCTAGGTCAGTGGTCACCAACCGGTCGATCTATCCCTAGGTCAGTGGTCACCAACCGGTCGATCTATCCCTAGATCAGTGGTCACCAACCGGTCGATCTATCCCTAGATCAGTGGTCACCAACCGGTCGATCTCCAAGCCTTTCCTAGTAGATCGCCAAACATTTCTGTAAAAAGACCAACGATAAAGCCTTGTATCTCCTATTTTTTTATTTGCTCTGTTTGCGGTAAGTGCACTTGATTCAGCTGGCCTGCACACCGGGTAGTCGAAGTGTTCCCATTTTGAACCATTTCATGTGTCTGAAGGTACAAACTCCGCCTAACCGGCGGGCCCAGAGAGCAAATCAAGTGCACCTATAATAGGTCTACCGCTGGCCTATCAAATAGCTTAGATCACCTGCAGCTTCCACGATCCCACAGCGAAGTTGATAGTCGACCCCACCTCCTGATGTGATGGAGGTGATGGAGGTCATTGGTAAGTTAAAGATAGCAGCAGGTCATGATGAGATTGGTGCCTCTTTGGTGCCTCCAGTGTCTTCCTCGATCACTGAGCCTCTAACGTACAGTGCATTCGGAAAGTATTCAGACCGCTTCCCTTTTTCCACATTTTGTTTCTTTACAGCCTTATTCTAAAATTGAATAAATAAATGTTTTCCCTCAATCTACACACAATACCCCATAACGACAAAGCAAAAACAGGTTTTTAGAAATGTTTGCAAATGAATAAAAAAATAAAAAAACAGAAATACCTTATTTACATACAGTAACAGTCAAAAGTCTGGACACCTACTCATTCAAGGGTTTTTCTTTATTTTTACTATTTTCTACATTGGCCTGATTCACACAGTCCCCTCTGAACAGTTGATGTTGAGATGTGTCTGTGACTTTAACTCTGATGCATTTATATTGGGCTGCAATTTCTGAGGCTGGTAACTCTAATGAACTTATCCTCTGCAGCAGAGGTAACTCTGGGTCTTCCATTCCTGTGGCGGTCCTCATGAGAGCCAGTTTCATCATAGCGCTTGATGGTTTTTGCGACTGCACTAGAAGAAACTTTCAAAGTTCTTGACATTTTCTGTATTGACTGACCTTCATGTCTTAAAGTAATGGACTGTCGTTTATCAAATCAAATCGTATTTGCCACATGCGCCGAATACAACAGGTGTAGACCTTACAGTGAAATGCTTACTTACAAGCCCTTAACCAACAATGGAAATTGGCTCCAATCATGCACCGTCCACAGGGTATGGCATGACATTGCAAAATGGAGTGATAGCCTTCCTTCTTCAAGATCCCTTTTACCCTGTACAAATCTCCCACTTTACCACCACCAAAGCACTCCCAGACCATCACATTGCCTCCACCATGCTTGACAGATGGCATCAAGCACTCCTCCAGCATCTTTTCATTTGGTCTGCGTCTCACAAATGTTCTTCTTTGTGATCCGAACACCTCAAACTTCGATTTGTCTGTTCATAACACTTGTTTCCAATCTTCCTCTGTCCAGTGTCCGTGTTCTTTTTCCCATCTTAATCTTTTCTTTTTATTGGCCAGTCTAAGATATGGCTTTTTCTTTGCAACTCTGCCTAGGTCAGCATCCCGAAATCGTCTCTTCACTGTTGATGTTGACTGGTGTTTTGCGGGTACTATTTAATGAAGCTGCCAGTTGAGGACCTGTGAGGCGTCTGTTTCTCAACCTAGACACTAATATATTTATCCTCTTGCTCAGTTGTGCACCGGGGCCTCCCACTCCTCTTTCTATTCTGGTTAGAGCCAGTTTGCGCTGTTCTGTGAAGGGAGTAGTACACAGCATTGTGCACATTTAACATGCTGGTAGAAATTAGGTAGAACGGATTTAAGTTTCCCTGCATTAAAGTCCCCGGCCACTAGGAGCGCTGCCTCTGGATGAACATTTTCCTGCTTGCTTATGGCCTTATACAGCTCATTGAGTGCAATCTTAGTGCCAGCATCGGTTTGTGGTGGTAAATAGACAGCTACGAAAAATATAGATGAAAACTCTCTTGGTAAATAGTATGGTCTACAGCTTATAATGAGGTACTCTACCTCAGGCGGGCAAAACCTTGAGACTTCCTTAGTATTAGATTTTATGCACCAGCTGTTGTTTACAAATATACACAGACCGCCACCCCTTGTCTTACCGGAGTCAGCCGTTCTATCCTGCCGATGTAGCGTATAGCCCGCCAGCTGTATGTTATCCATGTCGTCGTTCAGCCACGACTCAGTGAAACATAAGATATTACAGTTTTTAATGTCCCGTTGGTAGGATAACCGTAATCTTAGGTCGTCCAATTTATTTTCAAATGATTAAACATTGGCTAATAGGATTGATGGAAGAGGCAGTTTACTCGCTCGCCGTCGGATCCTTACAAGGCACCCCGACCTACGTCCACGATATCTCTGTCTCTTTCTCATGCGAATGACGGGGATTTGGGCCTTGTCGGGTGTCTGTCGAATATCCTTCGAGTCCGACTCGTTGAAGAAAAAATCTTCGTCCAATACGAGGTGAGTAATCGCTGTCCTGATATCCAGAAGCTCTTTTTGGTCATAAGAGACGGTGGCAGAAACATTATGTACAGAATAAATTACAAATAACGCGGAAAAACACACAATTGGTTAGAGGGCCGTAAAACGGCGCCATCTGAAGTAATTTGCTTATTTGAGCTTTTCTTGCCATAATATGGACTTGGTCTTTTACCAAATAGGGCTATCTTCTGTATACCTTGTCACAACACAACTGATTGGATCAAACACATTAAGAAGGAAATAAATTCCATAACTTTTAAGAAGGCACATTTGTTAATTGAAATGCATTCCAGGAGACTACCTCATGAAGCTGGTTGAGAGAATGCCAAGAGTGTGCAATGTAAAAAATAGTAAAAATTAAGAAAAACCCTTGAATGAGTAGGTGTCCAAACTTTTGATTGGTAGTGTAAGTATTCAGACCCTTTGCTATGAGACTCGAAAATGACCTCAGGTGCATCCTGTTTCCATTGATCATCCTTGAAATGTTTCTACAACTTGATTGGAGTCCACCTGTGGTAAATTCAATTGATTGGACATGATTTGGAAAGGCACACACGTGTCTATATAAAGGTCCCACAGTTGACAGTGCATGTCAGAGCAAAAACCAAGCCATGAGGTCGAAGGAATTGTCCGAGACAGGATTGTGTCGAGGCACAGATCTGGGGAAGGGTACCAAGACATTTCTGCAGCACTGAAGCTACCCAAGAACACAGTGGCCTCCATCATTCTTAAATGGAAGAAGTTTGGAATCACCAAGACTCTTCCTAGAGCTGGCTGCCCGGCCAAACTGAGCAATCGCGGGAGAAGGGCCTTGGTCAGGGTGGTGACCAAGAACCCGATGGTCACTCTGACAGAGCTCCAGAGTTCCTCTGTGGAGATGGGACAACCTTCCAGAAGGACAACCATCTCTGTAGCACTCCACCAATCAGGCCTTTATGGTAGAGTGGCCAGATGGAAGCCACTCCTCAGTAAAAGGCACATGACAGCATGCTTGGAGTTTGCCAAAAGGCAGCTAAAGGACTCTCAGACCATGAGAAACAAGATTCTCTGGAATGGTGAAACCAAGATTGAACTCTTTGGCCTGAATGCCAAGCGTCACGTCTGGAGGAAACCTGGCACCATCCCTACTGTGAAGCATGGTGGTGGCAGCATCATGCTGTGGGGATGTTTTTCAGCAGCAGGGACTGGGAGACTAGTTAGGATCGAGGGAAAGATGAACGGAGCAAAGTACAGAGAAATCCTTGATGAAAACCTGCTCCAGAGTGCTCAGGACCTCAGACTGGGGTGAAGGTTCTCCTTCCAACAGGACAACGGCCCTAAGCACACAGGCAAAGACAACGCAGGAGTGGCTTCCGACAAGTCTCTGAATGTGCTTGAGTGGCCCAGCCAGAGCCCGGACTTGAACCCGATCGAACATCTCTGGAGAGACCTGAAAATAGCTGTGCAGCGACGCTCCCCATCCAACTTGACAGAGCTTGAGAGGATCTGCAGAGAAGAATGGGAAAAACTCCCCAAATACAGGTGTGCCAAGCTTGTAGCGTCATACCCAAGAAGACTCAAGTCTGTAATTGCTGCCAAAGGTGCTTCAACAAAGTACTGAGTAAAGGGTCTGAATACTTATGTAAATGTAATATTTCCGGGTTTTTTCAAACATTTCTAAAAATCTGTTTTTGCTTTGTCATTATGGGGTATTGTGTGTAGATTGATAAGGGGAAAAAAATATTTAATCAATTTAGAATAAGGCTGTAATGTAACAAAATGTGGGAAAATAATCAAGGGATCTGAATACTTTCCGAATGCATAATATACCTCACGTTTTGAAATATAATTTGTAAATGGTCTGAGAAGATCATCATTGGCAGGTCAATTCAAGCGTAGCCAATATCCAGTGATAATGTACTGGACCTACAGCCTACTGCACAAACCTCACTGCTACAGAACTCTTTAATTGGTTCATGTTGCAGAGGCTTACGTTTTTTAAAAGTCATTTAAAAAAAGTTTCTGAGCAGTAGATCTCGGCCTGCATTTTGACTCAGAAAATGATGTCTGCTCAGAAAATGTTGCGGAACACTGCCCTAGATAATGGCACTCTAGTGCACAGTATTGGTGGTGCTAGTGGAGGTGTCACCAGGACAGGGTTGGTTGTGGGGACAGAGGACAGGATTGGTCGTGGGGACAGAGGACAGGATTGGTCGTAGGGACAGAGGACAGGGAGGGTTGTGGGGACAGAGGACAGGATTGGTCGTGGGGACAGAGGACAGGGAGGGTTGTGGGGACAGAGGACAGGGAGGGTTGTGGGTACGGAGGTGAGTTGAGTCACTCAGCCTCACTTCAGAACACTAACAGCTCTGTGAGGTCACACAATTAACTCCAATACCCCTCTAACTCAGCAGAGCTCACACAGCAGACCCAGACCTCACACAGCAGACCCAGAGCTCACACAGCAGACCCAGAGCTCACACAGCAGACCCAGAGCTCACACAGCAGACCCAGACCTCACACAGCAGACCCAGACCTCACACAGCAGACCCAGACCTCACACAGCAGACCCAGACCTCACCACACAGACCCAGAGCTCACACAGCAGACCCAGAGCTCACACAGCAGACCCAGAGCTCACACAGCAGACCCAGACTCACAACAACCCAGCAGACCCAGACCTCACACAGCAGACCCAGACTCACACAGCAGACCCAGACCTCACACAGCAGACCCAGACTCACACAGCAGACCCAGACCTCACACAGCCAGACCCAGACCTCACACAGCAGACCCAGACCTCACACAGCAGACCCAGAGCTCACACAGCAGACCCAGACCTCACACAGCAGACTCACACAGCAGACCCAGACCTCACACAGCAGACCCAGACCTCACACAGCAGACCCAGACCTCACACAGCAGACCCAGACCTCACACAGCAGACTCACACAGCAGACCCACCACAGAGCTCACACAGCAGACCCAGACCTCACACAGCAGACCCAGACCTCACACAGCAGACCCAGACCTCAACAACGCCAACGCATACCCAAGCCACACAGCAGACCCTCACACACGCAGACTCACACAGCAGACCCAGACCTCACACAGCAGCCGATCACACGCAGACCCGACTCACACAGCAGACCCAGACCTCACACAGCAGACCCAGACTCACACAGCAGACCACCTCACACAGCAGACCCAGACCTCACACAGCAGACCCAGACCTCACACAGCAGACCCAGACCTCACACAGCAGACCCAGACCTCACACAGCAGACCCAGACCTCACACAGCAGACCCAGACGCTCACACAGCAGACCCAGACCTCACACAGCAGACCAGACCTCACACAGCAGACCCAGACCTCACACAGCAGACCCAGACTCACACAGCAGACCCAGACCTCACACAGCAGAACACCAGACCTCACACAGCAGACCCAGACCTCACACAGCAGACCCAGACTCACACAGCAGACCCAGACCTCACACAGCAGACCAGACTCACACAGCAGACCCAGACCTCACACAGCAGACCCAGACCTCACACAGCAGACCCAGACCTCACACAGCAGTACCCCAGACCTCACACAGCAGACCCAGACCTCACCACAGCAGACCCAGACCTCACACAGCAGACCCAGACCTCACACAGACCCAGCACAGACCCAGACCTCACACAGCAGACCCAGACCTCACACACAGCCAGATCACCCAGACCTCACACAGCAGACCCAGACTCCCCCTCACACAGCAGACCCAGACTCACACAGCAGACCCAGACCTCACACAGCAGACTACCGCAGACCGACTCACACGCAGACCCAGACCTCACACAGCAGACCCAGACTCTCACACAGCAGACCCCAGACCTCACACAGCAGACCCAGACTCACACAGCAGACCCAGACCTCACACAGCAGACCCGACCTCACACAGCAGACCCAGACCTCACACAGCAACCCAGACCTCACACAGCAGACCAGACCTCACAGCAGACCCAGACCTCACATGATCACCCAGACCTCACACAGCAGACCCAGACTACACACAGACCCAACCCAGACCCTACCACACAGCAGACCCAGACCTCACACTCATGACTCCAGACCTCACACAGCAGACCAGTACCTACACACAGCAGACCCAACTCAAAGCATGACCCAGACCTCACATCAGAACACTCCAGACTGTCGACAACACATATCCCAGACCTCGAGCAGCAGACCTCACACAGCACCTTCAGAAAACAAGACCAGACACGCAGTTCAGAACAGACTGTTCATACTCCCCGAGTCAGGAGGACCAGTCTAGACTGACCACACGTTTCTCTACACAGATCTCCTCCTCCTTCAGCACAGACCTGCACACACAATCCTCAGAACTTCCCAGACCATCCAGCAAACATGTCCAGACACAACACACAGAACCACAACACATCCGTTAGAAACATGATCCCAGAACACATCCGTTAGAAACATGATCCCAGAACACATCAGTTAGAAACATGATCCCAGAACACATCCGTTAGAAACATGATCCCAGAACACATCCGTTAGAAACATGATCCCAGAACACATCCGTTAGAAACATGATCCCAGAACACATCCGTTAGAAACATGATCCCAGAACACATCCGTTAGAAACATGATCCCAGAACACATCCGTTAGAAACATGATCCCAGAGCCTCCCGAGTGGCGCAGCGGTCTATGTAAGATCACAGATCCTCCAACACATCGCAGTGTTCACTACAGCCTGGGGTTCGATCCGGGAGTCCCATAGGGCGGTGCAGAATTGGTCCAGCGTCGTCCGGGATAGGGGAGGGTTTGGCCGGGGAGCTTTCCTTGGCCCATCGCGCTCTAGCGACTCCTTGTGGCAGGCCGGGCGCCTGCAAACAGACTTCAGTCGTCAGTTGAAAAGTGTTTTCTTCCGACACATTGGTGCGGCTGGCTTCCAGGTTAAGCGAGCAGGTGTTAAGGAGCAGTGCGGCTTGGCGGGTCATGTTTCGGAGGACGCATGACTCGACCTTCGCCTCTCCTGAGCCCATTGGGGAGTTGCAGCAATGAGACAAGATCGTAACTACCAATTGGATATCACAAAATTGGGGAGAAATCCCAAAACACATCAGTTACATTATTATCATCTTATCTTGTCAATAATAACACTGTTAACAAGGTCTGACACAGTATGCCTAGGCTACACAGTTTATACAGACCATCACACTGAATAACGAGTCAGACCAGGACAAACTCCTGACTACAACTAGGGCCCAGAGGTTTTCCTGGTTGGGTCACCTGGTCAGGAAGAACTTGTGAGAAAATGTGTTAAATTATTTGTCCTGATAATTACACTTTACCTTGACAACACTGTTCTCCTCTTCCTCTTCCTCCTCCTCCATCACCAGTACATACTCATACCCACGGTCTGCCTCTGCCTGTCTGTCTCCCTGCAGGGTAAGGGTCTCCAGCACGCTGTCCTCCAGGCGACAGCCACAGTCAACCAGCCAGTCATCATGCTTGGAGCACCGGACCGTATCCAGGGCCGCCTGGTCTATCTGCTGGGGCTCCTGGGGGTACAGCTCAGCCAGGGGGTCGAACCGACTGTCTCCCTGCCTCCTAGGCCTCTTAGCCTGGGGACACTCACTGTCCTGCTCCCCCTGATCGTCTGGGCTGCAGGAGGCTAAGGCCTGGACCTGCTGTTCCCCTGTCCCTGCCTGCTCTGAGGCCATGTCCTGGAGTTTACCTGCCCCTGACCCGGTTTCCTCTCTTCTGTCATCATGTCCATTTTCCTCTCTGAGCTCTGGCTCCATTGGCTGACAAAGTCTCTGCAGCATCTGATTGACAACATCCTCCTCCAATCCCTGAGCTAGGAGTACGTCCCGTGCCCAGCTCAAATGCTTCTGGTACCTGGGAGAGAGGAGAGAGGTAGACTCATGCTGTGCAACTGGTAGACACCAATACACTACATTACCAAAAATATGTGGACACCTGCTTGTTGAACATCTCAATCCAAAATCATGGACATTAATATGGAATTGGTCCCCCCTTTGCTGCTATAACAGCCCCCACTCTTCTGGGAAGGCTTTCCACTAGATGTTGGAACATTGCTGAGGGGACTTGCTTCCATTCAGCCACAAGAGCACTGGGCACTGATGTTGGGCGATTAGGCCTGGCTCGCAGTCTGCGTTCCAATTCGTTCCAAAGCTGTTCGATGGGGTTGAGGTCAGGGCTCTGTGCAGGCCAGTCAAGTTCTTCCACACCAATCTCGACAAACCATTTCTGTATGGACCTCGCTTTGTGCACGGGGGCATTGTCATGCTGAAACAGGAAAGGGCCTTCCCCAAACTGTTGCCCCAAAGTTGGAAGCACAGAATAGAATGTAATTGTATGCTGTAGTGTTAAGATTTCCCTTCACTGGAACTAAGGGGCCTAGCCTGAATCATGAAAAACAGCCCCAGACCATTATTCCTCCTCCACCAAACTTTACAGTTGGCACTATGCATTAGGGCAGGTAGCGTTCTCCTGGCATCTGCCAAACCCTGATTCATCCGTTGGACTGCCAGATAGTGAAGCGTGATTCATCACTCCAGAGAACACGTTTCCACTGCTCCAGAGTCCAATGGCGGCGAGCTTTACACCACTCCAGCTGACGCTTGGCATCGCGCATGGTGACCTTAGGCTTGTGTGCGGCTGCTCGGCCAAGGAAACCCATTTCATGAAACTCCTGACGAACAGTTATTGTGCTGACGTTGCTTCCAGAGGCAGTTTGGAACTCGGTAGTAAGTGTTGCAACCGAGGAATACCTGGAATAGTATAAAGTAATCCTTCTACCCCCCCCCCCATAAAAAAAAAAGTGGTTGTCCCACTGGCTATCCTAAGTTGAATGCACCAATTTGTAAGTCGCTCTGGATAAGAGCGTCTGCTAAATGATGTAAATGTAAATGTACCAACACATCCTCCGAGAGCAACTTGTCCCAACCATCCAAGAACAGTTTGGTAATAATAAAATAATATGCCATTTAGCAGACGCTTTTATCCAAAGCGACTTACAGTCATGCGTGCATACATTTTTGTGTATGGGTGGTCCCGGGGATCGAACCCACTACCTTGGCGTTACAAGCGCCGTGCTCTACCAGCTGAGCTACAGAGGACGAACAATGCCTTTTCCAGCATGATGGAGCACCTTGCCATAAGGCAAAAATGATAACTAAGTGGCTCGGGGAACAAAACATCAACATTTTGGGTCCATGGCCAGGAAACTCCCCAGACCTTAATCCCAATGAGAACTTGTGGTCTATCCTCAAGAGGCGGGTGGACAAACAAAACCCCACAAATTCTGACAAACTCCAAGCATTGATTATGCAAGAATGGGCTGCCATCAGTCAGGATGTGGCCCAGAAGTTAATTGACAGCATGCCAGGGCAGATTGCAGAGGTCTTGAAAAAGAAGGCTCAACACTGCAAATATTGACTCTTTGCATAAACGTAATGTAATTGTCAATAAAAGCCTTTGACACTTATGGAATGCTTGTAATTATACTTCAGTATACCATAGTAACATCTGACAAAAATATCTAAAAACACTGAAGCAGCAAACTTTGTGAAGACCAATACTTGTGTCATTCTCAAAACCTTTGACCACGACTGTATAGTTCAGAACATTCAGATGAGAGCTACTGCTGTAACCATCCAGTCCTGCTATCAACAGATACTTACTTGATCAGGGAGATGACAGGCAGAACTCTCTCACCAAACTCTACAGAGACGGAGAGAAGACACGTTTAGATGGGCCAGTTCTACAACACTGTTGACCAATCCAATAATAGGCCTTGAGAGAATTAGCAGTTGAATACTCACTTTCCCATTGGTGTGAGATACTGTGGTCTGGTCTGCTTCTTGATAAGATGCCTTTACCAAAGTAACCCTTGATAACAACATGACAAAGTCAAAATGAGCAGCTCCATAATCTTGGAAAATAACGAAATCTCGCGTGAACGCTTTTCACTACGGCTAGTTAGAGAAGTAGTGTGGGACTAGTAGCTAGCTTCATCATACTAGTAGCTAGCTTCATCATACTAGTAGCTAGCTTCATCATACTAGTAGCTAGCTTCATCATACTAGTAGCTAGCTTCATCATACTAGTAGCTAGCTTCATCATACTAGTAGCCTCCTCTCCAGTGGATGTATCTGAATATTTAGCTAAACAACAGAGCCTGCTGTCTGCTACACACCTTGCCGTAGAGAGCCTGTATGTGTTCAGGGTCCCTGACTATCACATGCTGGTTGACCATCTCTGCTCTGTAGATTAGGGTCTGCTGCAGCCTCGCTTCCTCCGCAGCCAGAGGGACCGGGAACGGGGCGTCATACGCCTCATACACTCTGGCCCGCCGTTTGGGCGCCTGGAACACCGCGTCCGTCATGGCGTTAAGTATGGACCTATCTGCCTTCTCCTCTTGTATGGATGCGGTACATTACTAGTACAAGCGGCAATGTGAACACACGCTGTTCAATGAGTGTTACACGAATTCCTTCCCTTGGAACGCACCGGTACATTAAACTTAGTTCCTAGCCACACTGAGTGTAATAAAGATTTCCAACCAGTAAGGGGAGATGTTTGTCATGTCAATGCCTGTTGGAGTCAGGAACCTAGTGTACCATCTACAACCATGATCATACTCAATTAGTATGCTTACAATTGCTTAAGGTCAACATCTTCAAACTATGATGTGGGTCCTAATGTTCCAACGTTTTTCAGCCTTATTCTCACTTGAAAATAGTTTTTGTGTGCAATAGGCTAAACCACACATTCTGTTAACATCTCCAGAGTGATCTGTCTTGCAATTTGTAGTCCATGACATTTCAGATTTACATATGATAATTTTTCACAAAGTAGTTTGTATGTAGTCAACTACTTTTTTAAAGTAACTTTAGTTAACTAAACTATATTTAAGGGTAGCTTTAGTGTAGTTTAACTTCTTCCAGTGTGAAGTAATTGGTAGCTTGGTAAGCTTGGGTCCCCTGTAGCTCAGTTGGTAGAGCATGGCGCTTGCAACGCCAGGGTTGTGGGTTCGTTTTCCACGGGGGTCCAGTATGAAAAAATTTATGCACTCACTAACTGTAAATTGCTCTGGATAAGAGCGTCTGCTAAAATCTAATCTATCTTTTTAGAGTAGCTTCTCCAACACTGATTAGTGTTGATGTTTAGAGTAGCGCAGGTTTGTATGATGATTAGTAAATACAGTGGTCCAGACACATGGAAAGATTTCAGCCATGGACGGAGCAAAGGTTGGCACTGACCCTGAATCCCTTCTTTCAAAACCAGCATCAGCACCAGTGACCTGACCCTAACCCTAACCTGACCCTAACCAGTACCAGTGACCTAACCCTAACCTGACCCTAACCAGCACCAGTGACCTGACCCTAACCCTAACCTGACCCTAACCAGCACCAGTGACCCTAACCCTAACCTGACCCTAACCAGTACCAGTGACCTGACCCTAACCCTAACCTGACCCTAACCAGTACCAGTGACCTAACCCTAACCCTAACCTGACCCTAACCCTAACCCTAACCTGACCCTAACCCTAACCTGACCCTAACCAGTACCAGTGACCTGACCCTAACCCTAACCTGACCCTAACCAGTACCAGTGACCTGACCCTAACCCTAACCTGACCCTAACCAGTACCAGTGACCTGACCCTAACCCTAACCTGACCCTAACCAGTACCAGTGACCTGACCCTAACCCTAACCTGACCCTAACCCTAACCTGACCCTAACCTGACCCTAACCCTAACCTGACCCTAACCCTAACCCTAACCCACCCATCAGCCTTTGATGCATCATAATATTACCTAAGACTGCATCATGGTCACATGCCAGTGGAGTCAACAGAAAGGAAGGAATGCCCTCATTGCTCAGGCTACAGAGCAAAGATTACTGGGACAAAGGTCAAGATTCTCCTCTCCTCTGTCACAATACAGTTTATGTACTGGAAATACTTGTATTAGGGTTGGGGTTGGTTGTAACTACTAATCCGACTGGGTTGGAATATGTGAATATGTATTGTATATTAGTTTGTATGTATTTATGTGAATATGTCTATTGTTGAAACCAAGCCCAAACACCCGGGCCATTTTCCCAGACACAGATTAAGCCTAGTCATGGATTAAAATGCATTCTCCGTTGATATTCTCCTTTGAACTGTTTAGTCCAGGACTAGGGTTAATCTGTGTCTAGGAAACCAGCCCAAATGGTATACCTCCTACATACAGAGTGTTATTCTGAGCCAATGGGCTGTGGGGAGCATCCACACTGGAGTTAGAATGAAGGACAATATTCTCTGGTGTTTTGGAACAGTGATGTGGTTCCAGACTAGAGTTAGAATGAAGGACAAGGTGTTTTGGAACATTGATGTTCTGATATCAACCAAGGCCACAGCTCAGACACAGCTCAGCACTGTACAATTCGTATGACTGATATTCAACATTCATTTCAATTTGGAAAAAGTGATTGATTTGTCCATTTCACCAGTCAGTGGAAATGAATGACATCAACAGTATAAATTCCTAAAACAATTGAACATTTATTCAAATACAACATATTCAGCATTTACCCTGAATGCAGTCTCCGCGAACGCGGTAACATTGCCTTTAAATATCAATCATGCTACAGCGCGGAGCTTCCTCGCTAAGGATTGAATTTAGCCCCTAGTGAGTTCCACTGCTGAGAGTTCTAGGTGGGCGGACAGCTTTCTGGGACGGGTTTCACAATGTGTGGCCAAGAAGAATCTCTTTCTCAACTCACACAGTCTCATACACTGAGAAACCTTTCCCTTTTCTTTAGAGCTTCACAGAATGCTTGTCTCAGAAAAGTTGTTTCACAGTGTAATAAAACAGAGAAATGTTATTGAATCTTTACTTTGACTGTCTAATTTGACTTTGAACATGTTATTGAATCTTTACTTTTACTGTCTAACTTGACTTTGAACATGTTATTGAATCTTTACTTTTACTGTCTAACTTGACTTTGAACATGTTATTGAATCTTTACTTTGACTGTCTAAATTGACTTTGAACATGTTATTGAATCTTTACTTTGACTGTCTAATTTGACTTTGAACATGTTATTGAATCTTTACTTTGACTGTCTAATTTGACTGGGGATTTTTGTTGACTAAGTTCTCTGGACAACAGTTTGTACTGTGTTCTACATGTGGAGGCTGAATGTTTGAAGGATTTTCAAGCTATGCTCTTAATTTGTAAGTCTCTAAAATGGCTATGATCTGTGTATAAATTAAAATGGAAAAATACCATCAATTCACAGAGAGATTTTATATACTGAAGCACTCAATGAAAGAAAGTGAGTTATTGTAAATGTTATGAAAGGTGTCATGTCTGACTGACTAATAATCAATCTCTTATTGCAGGGTGTCAGACATTAAACACATCATGTTGAAGCCTTTGTTACCAGTGAATGACTGATGGAGAAGTCGTCAGCAGGCATGGTTGAACCTGTCACACCCCAACATTACTCATTTTAATGTAGTGTGAAATTCAAAAGGGTAAAAAGCTGATTAATGCAAATTTCCCACTCTCTCTGTGTGCTCTGTGGTCCTCTGTAGTTCAGTTAGTAGAACATGGTCCTCTGTAGTTCAGTTGGTAGAACATGGTCCTCTGTAGTTAGTAGAGCATGGTCCTCTGTAGTTCAGTTAGTAGAGCATGGTCCTCTGTAGTTCAGTTGGTAGAACATGGTCCTCTGTAGTTAGTAGAGCATGGTCCTCTGTAGTTCAGTTGGTAGAACATGGTCCTCTGTAGTTCAGTTAGTAGAGCATGGTCCTCTGTAGTTCAGTTGGTAGAGCATGGTCCTCTGTAGTTAGTAGAACATGGTCCTCTGTAGTTCAGTTGGTAGAACATGGTCCTCTGTAGTTCAGTTGGTAGAGCATGGTCCTCTGTAGTTCAGTTGTAGAACATGGTCCCCCTGTTTAGAAGGCATGGTCCTCTGTAGTTCATTTGGTAGAACATGGTCCTCTTTAGTTTCGTTGGTAGAACCATTGTCCTCTTAGTTCATTTGGTGAACATGGTCTCTGCTGTAGTTTCATTTGGTAAGCATGATGTCCTCTGTAGTTCAGTTAGTATAGCATGGTCCTCTGTTATTCATTGTTAGAGCATGGTTCCTCTTAGTTTAGTAGAACATGGTCCTCTGTAGTTCAGTTTGGTAGAACATGGTCCTCTTAGTTCACTTTGGTAGGCATGGTCCTCTGTAGTTCAGTTTGGTAGAAACATGTCCTTTTGAGTTAGTAAGGCATGGTCCTCTGTAGTTCAGTTGGTAGAACATGGTCCTCTGTAGTTCAGTTTTGTCAGAACATGGTCTCTGTAGTTCTTTGGTAGAACATGGTCCCGCTGTAGTTCAGTTAGGTGCAGATGGTCCTCTGTAGTTTCAGTTATAAACATGGTCCGCTGTAGTTCAGAGTTTAGTAAAGCATGGTCCCTCTGTAGTTCAGTTAGTAGAACATGGTCCTCTGTAGTTAAAGTAGAACATGGTCCTCTGTAGTTCAGATTGGTAGAACAGTCCTCTGTAGTTCAGTGAGTAGAGCATGGTCCTCTGTATTAGTAGAGCATGGTCTCTGTAGTTCAGTTAGTATAGCATGGTCCTCTGTAGTTCAGTTAGTGACAATGGCCTCTGTGTTTCGTAGAGCAATGGTCCTCTGTAGTTTGTAGAACATGGTCCTCTGTA